GAAATGCTCCAACCCAATCAGCTTGACGGTCTTTTGCGAGACTCCTTCGCCAACTATGTTATTCAGACCGCTTTGGACTACGCCAATTTAAACATGAAGACACGTCTCATTGAGGCTATTCGACCCCATCTGCCAGCTATACGCACCACACCTTATGGTCGCCGCATTCAAGCTAAGATTCAGGGCAATGAAAACCGCGGAAATACTTCGACTGGTCCCACCACTCCTAACGATAACGAGACTGGTCAACTTGCTACTCGTCACCAACGTGGCATGTCCAATGTATCAGCCGGTCCCTTTGTTAGCTCCCCTGGAGGATTCCCAAATGGCATTGGTCCTGCACCCATAACCAATGGTTTACCACTTCCCGCAATCCAATCTCCAACTCAGCAAGGAGCTGGCTTTCCACCAAACAGTCGCCTTACTTCGCCTGCCGCTGCTCATCCATACAATTATGGTAGAGCTGGCGCTCAGCCTGGCACTCAGCCTGGAGCAGGTAGTGACTGGTTTTAATCCCGAAATTTCCATATCAAATTTGGTGAAATTTCGGCATGACGATACGATTTCAACGCTTGTAACGGTACGAGGAACGATATTCATTTTCGAATCAGTCGATGTTCCAGTTCGTCTAGCATTTATTCACAATTGAATCTTTTTGATAGGATTTCAATTTTGCATTCAAGCTTTCTGGACAGTTCGTCTTCTATGGTTGTATTCACAAACGATTTTCACGGCCCTTTGTTGTTACATTAGCATCATCTAGAGGTATTACATTCGTGCATACCTATTTCTTTTCAATTTCAATTGGCGATAGCGTGCATCACGGAAGCAAAATTTTCCTGCGAGTCTTCAGCCTTTTTGTACCATAGCAGCTTGATCAAAAAAGATCTTAGCATGATTCAATATGACACCTTCTATCTCTAGCGCAGGGTACAACATGAGCGACTGCGCAGCTCGACTTGTACCTTCATTTGCCACGACAATAGACTCGATTTTCCTTGTTCTTTAGTTTCCTTAACGGTGGTTTTCTGGTTCTAGTTACTCTTTGGCGTGTCAACGGGTTTTTTCACTTGATAGTCATGAGCAGACATCTTGTGCCCACACCTTTCTTCTGCATCTCTATTCTCTACATCGTGTTGTCCGATGGGAAGAAAGGCTCTTTTTGTAACCTTCGAGGCTTCCTTTTCTTCTTCTTTTCTTTCTTTAGCTAGCTTGGCGTATGTTATTGCATCGTCTGTTTCCATTTACGCACAAATCAAAGTGTGCTTCATCTGATGGGTAAATGGTTCATTTGAAGCTTCCTAAAGATCTTCTGACATTATTATTTCTTTCTTTTCTACTGGACTGGTCACGAGCCTTGACTTCGAAGAAAAGCAGAAAAAACTTGTAACTAGAAAGCAATGAGAAATGAAAATTTATGGAATATGACCTGTTGCTTTCATGTGATTTCTTGAGTTGTGTCTACAAAGTTTCGAAATACTGACTTGGACTTTTTATTGGAAATTTAGTTTGGTTAAGTGCATGCAGTAGTGAACTCTGTCTATCGTGTTTAATAGCTGAAATATTACTTAGGAGATATCCTATTCAGCCCAGTTGAAATATGCTTCGAGGTATCCTGCGTACATGTAGGCAGACGTAGAGAAGGTGAAATGGAGATAGTACATTGAGGAAGCTGTGGGCAGGGGTGGCGTGCCGTGCGTTTTGAAGGATGAGCTTTGAGGCTTGTATACTCTTCGCGGCTAAGTAGAGTGGACAGAATGTACTTATATCAGAGGGAGAAAAACAATTCATTGAGTGCCGGTATCTTTTGACCGGAATTTCTTCCCTCTCTACATAGAGGACAGTATTTCCTGTGGTAGAGTAGGTCACAAAAACAGTATCAAAGTTGAGAAGATCGAAACTATCCAAAAGAAATGCGACTTCTAAGACTACTAGCTCAGTGCTTAATCTTTACTCGAACATTTCTTCATTCATGTAGAAGTTAAAGTCAGGATTTCATTTATTTCATTCCTCCCTTAATATGAGTCGAGAATCGTGCTGATACCTGCAGCTTTATTCATCATTATCATCATGTCACATCATACTATTGCTCCCTTCCCTTCCCCTCACCCATCACATCTCATCCATGAATCAACAACCCACCTGCCCTTCCATCCCCGATCTCCCTCCTAGATACCTTTCCCCTCCACCTCCCCCCCATTCCCCCTCTCACTCTCACTTCCCCCCTCCCTCACCCCCTCGTTCCCCCCATAATCCTCTCCACTCAACACCTCCAAACTAATCCTCTTCGTCTCGGGTATACACAGCGTTGTAAATATCCCCGCAAACATGAACGCTGCATAGATCTCCAGCACATGATCTAACCACGGACTTGCAGATTTTGCAGTTGCGCCTCGTACGCGCAGGGGTGCAATGGCCGCTTGGCCGATGATGGAGCCGATTTTGCCCATGCCGGCGCTGAAACCGTGAGAGGTGCTGCGGTAGCGGGTGGGAAAACATTCGCCGGGTACGATGAAGGTTGTTGTGTTCGGTCCTGGGAGGAGATGGTTAGTCGTGGGATTGGTATTTTGGGGTTATAGGGTTATCAAGGTAGGAAGAGAAAGGAAAGGGAAAGAGGTGCCTACCAAAGTTAAAGAAGAATTGAGCCACAACATAAAGACCCAGTAACCCATGACCCGAAAGTTTATGGTACCCAAAACCCATCCCGATAAAAACAATCGTAAGAACAATAAATCCCATAAGCTGAATCGGTTTCCGTCCAATCGTATCAACCGTTGCAACCGTAACCCAATACCCTGGGATGGCACCCGCACACACAATAATAAGATTTCCAATCGCTGTATTCAGCAGCGTCTTATAGATCGTCGAACCCGTCGAATACCCAATCGCAGTCAATATCACAGGATTATTCAACGACAATCCATACCAAGCCACATCGAGCAAAAACCACGAACCCGCTGTCCCAAAGAGGATTTTACCATTTTTCCATTGTGAATAATACGCGACGAAATCGCTCCAACTAGCTTTAGGAATTTTCATTTGCGACTTCCCGGCTTGGATTCCTTGGCCTCGCGCTATTTCATCCGGGTGTCCTTCCGCTTTACCGGCTATATATGCTTCGACATCTAATTGCGCCTGTTCCACATCCCGCGCAATATCGAAAGTATAGCGCGGAGTTTCAGGGATGGTGAGTCGGTAGTAGAGTGCCACACAAGCTAGCGGAGCGGGGATTAGTGGATACTTCTACTTCAACCCACAATATTATTTTCGCTAAACTCAGGAGGATTGATGTTTACCTGGGACCGCGCCAAATCCAATCAGTACTCTCCACATCTTGTCGACTGCTAGGCCGCATACACCTTGACAGACTGCGGCGGATTTGGCGGTCAGGAGAGATTCTTTGAAGCCGGCGACGAGGATTAGCATGACGAGACCGGCGACGAATTGGCCGATTCCTTGCATGGCGAAGACGGCGCCCATCATTGCTCCGCGCCATTTGGTGGTAGCGAATCTGTGGGTATGTCAGGGTATGCTTGGTTTGAATGAGAATATTGCATGACGATGAAGTTTCAGGAAAATTGAACCATTAATAGCTTTTTGCAATGATGCAATGATGCAATGATGATTCGGCCAATTTTTCACCAATGAGCAGAATGGATTCCATGACTTCAGAACCCAAGAATTGATAGCTGATAGGAAAGGAACTTACTCTGATGTGATGATAGATGAGAGTGGGTAATCACCACCAATTCCTATCAATTGAGTTAGTTTGTTCCATTCATGTCTAATTAAAGATAGCAAGATCATAAGCTTACCAATTCCCATAAGAACTCGCCAGAATATTATCACACCCACAATGTTCACAGCGGGAGAACTCGAGGTTAGAGATTGTGCCACTGTGAGGTTGGGGGGTCAGTATCTCTCCAGAAAGTATAGAATTCAAAAGAAAATGACGAAGATGAGGTTTTAATGCTTCATGAAGAGGAGAGTACATAGGATTGAACACTCAAATGGAAGGTAAAATCGAGGTTCAGAAATGGGAGTTGAAACAAAAAAAGCTAACGAGCCATCCGTATCAAACTCACAAGTCGCAAAAATGATAATGATCAACTCAAGTCCATACTGCAAACACAAGTAAGCATTGAGGCTTAAACCCCCATCAAACCACATACCATTTTCTTCCGTCCCACAATATCCGCCAAGATGCCAAACCCAAACTGACCAACCACCGTTCCCGCACTAGTCGAGACCTTGATCGCTGTATCAGAATTCGTCGGCATAACACCTTTATTATGCGGAAAATAGACAATTCCAAGCATAGTAGTAAGAAGCCCAACCGCAAAAATATCATAAGAATCGGTAAAGAAACCAATGCCGGCAACCACACACGCACGAACATGGTACCATCCGAAGGGCGCGCGATCGATTTCCGCGAGAGCGAGTCTGCGTCTCTCATTGGGATCTTGGATGTGCGCAAAATCATTGTTAAAATTGTGCCAAACGGCGTTTCCGCCGGATGTTGTGTGGAGTGCTGCGGGAACTGATGGGTGAGGAGCGGCTTCTTTCGAAAGCTCTGGACTCGTCATTCTGGGATGGGTTTGAAGTACTAGAGAGTTCTGAAGTCTATGCTTGTCTTATATCACTTTTAATCTTCAGGAGGTTTGGGTAGAGGTGCATTATGAATAACCCACGAGGGCAGTCAGCTTTATCAAGCAGTGAATGTCTGCGCCAGCCAAGCCATGGGGTAGCATTCAATTGGTGACTGATTTCACTCCCACAATCTTACTCAAAGTAGAAATCACTAAATATGGCAGGTTGCCGTCCAACTTGTGGCGTGGTAAATGTAGTTGTACCAAACATATTTACATGTCAACGAATTACAAATTGTGATATCAGAACGGGCTTCACAATTGACGAAGAGTGTGTTGCATATGAAGGCTACAGCCGACGAGGCTGATATTGAATAATTCAAAAATGACAAATCAGATGTTATAGATCTAGCACGTTTCCAGTTCAGAGGTTGATACAATGTTGGTCAAGCCCCTCTAATCAAGCCCTGTACCACATATTACAGGGTGGTGTTTATCAGATATATCGCGAGCATGGGTGGTGGTATTGATTCGCTTAATGCACTCATAGTGTTACCAGCAACGACACCGTATCAAACTTCGAGTCAGCTTTGGATTCGATTGATCGATTGGTTTGATTTATGTGTAGCCTAATAATGTAGCGTATACGGAACCATACGAGGTAACAGCTATGTTGCCGTCTATAAGGAAGTATGTGGGCCGAATAGACTGCTCGATCTTGAACTACTGCCCAAAATAACAATACATAACATTTGAAATCACTCCGTGTTAGGTGTGAGCCATCTGCGCCACTGTATTGCAGACGCAAGGCATTCTTGGCATTGATAAGCATTCAGATCGGGATGCTAGAAGCGTTGGCGTAGTTCCATAGAAAGATTCTCGAAGTTGAGGAGTCGGTGAAAAGGGAGCTCGGCATGGAGCACGTTCTTCCAAGAGATCTTTAGACAGGACGATCTAAGACAACTAAAAATCTTCGAATAAAAGAGTACTTTCCCTTTCCATTCGTGTAATCCGCCCTGCCGTTATTACGTTCAGACTTTAGCTGAGTTTGGACAGCCAACAGTTTGAAAAAATGTGATATATGACTGATAGAATCAACTTTCCTGGCGCTTTCGAATTTGGTAAGTTAGAATATCCGTAAATCAGCTGGGACATTTGTGCCGATTTAACCGTCGCTTACCACTGCAACCATGGGGGCGACTTCAATTTATACTTCCAATATCAGGCATCAATAATCACTCCTAATAGAGTCGTTATTTGACGCTCAAGTCCGAATGATCGTGGAGGCTTAGAAGGCATGTTCTTGCAGCCTCTTCAGAACATTAGACGTGTATACCAAGATGAGACACTAGGCTTTGTGACTCTTTGGGTGTTTCGGTATCTTCTTCGCCAGATATCCACTGCCAGGCTAGCAGCGACCAATTCAGTTCCTTACGCCAGAATAGTCCGTGACCGAGTTCGCTGTCTGCACAGAGACCACCAGTTTTTGGCATACGTTGTCCAAATATTACTCGCCCAAAGCGAGAATGTACGATAGCCATGGAGCACATAATACACGGCTCATGTGTTATGTAAAGCTCCAACTCATGACAAAGATATCCGTCGACCCATTCAGTCGAGTTGTGGTGCTTTGCCTCCAAGGTACCCAATGATTGATCTCGGAAAATTGATGTTTGTTCTGAAGTATTCTTCGCTTCTGATTCTTTTCCAGCTTTGCGTTCTTCTTGAACCTTTATTCCATCTGCTACCATTGCAATAACTCGAAGCGCTGCATGCGCTGTAACATTACCAGACCCAGCCCGTGGCCATTTCATCCATCGCGCGTCACCAGCAACCGCAAGTATGCGTGCAGCTCCATTCTTTCGTTCGACAACTACAGCACCGATTTGCTCTCCAATACCTGTCGTGCTTGAAGAACGTGCTACTTCAGCCGCTAAGTCCATATACTTCTCGACTTCTCCTTGTACTTCTTCTTCAGCCCTAGATACAATTGCTGGATGGGGACCAAACGGATTACTTTTCTTGTATACTATAGGCCAGTATTGAGACGACCAAGACTTCGCTTGTTCTTGCGATGTTGGGGCTAACAAAGGTACCTTGACGGAACAAATGGTTGCTGGATCTAAGATTGGAGAAAGGGCACTGCGTAATTCTCCTGAGCTGATGAGATTTGCAGCTCCCACAAGAAGGAAAAGCTCTGGAGATTCAGTATCAGCTAGGTCATTGCTATCTGCTCTTGCGTCTAGCATAGAAGTGCGAACGTGACCTGGAACGTCTGTTTGTTTCGCAAATCTTCTGATGTGCTGTAGATCATAGCCACCATCTTCAGGAAAGAGTTTCCTTGTTAAACTGAGAAAGTATGAGTACGTGCATAATTCGATAGAAATGAGGTTTAACACTTACTTCAAAACACCACTAGCTTTTTTCGCTGGAACGCTTGTGATGTAAACACTGAGCAACGAATATCGAGCTCTCGTTTCCAATGTGGTCTTAAGAGGAACAAGACCACTTGATGTACTAGCCGAAGCCTCGGCCTTAATTTGAGTGAGTGGTTTATTCATTTTTTTAGTTCCAGATAACTCGACACTCGTCTTGTATAAATTATTACTTGTTCAGCCACAGTTACTCTTGTCTGTGAATCATTGGTTCAAGATATTTACTGGGTTGTATGTTTGTGCAAAGAGGACTCTGTGGGTCGGTAAAAAATTCACCGAGCTTGGTTTGCACGTGATCCGACCTATATCATTACCTAGAGATGCTCCTCCTACCCCATTATTTCGATATATCATTCTTCGAAACGGCGCGTATCGAAATCCTAAGATAAGGTTTACTATATCCCCTTGCTGTCACTTCTCTCTACCTCTTACAAGAGATTCTAGCATACACTAATCATTAAGTAGAGAGCATTGTATCAGATGTCATCGTTTTTTGCCTACTGAGGTAGTTCGACTAAAAAAAGATTCTGGATTTAAGTCCTATTTCACCAAACCAACGTACTTTTGTTGATGATGTCCAACTGAAGAATATTTCGATGCCTTATCAACAACCCATCGATGATTCGCTTCCCCTTCCCTTGAATTCATATCCCAGCGTGATGATACAAACGCTCCATAACCGATGCCATCCATTCATAAATACATAGGTTTATAATTACCATTCCAAACGCCTATGCTGTGAAAACTCCGAATACTCATTCCCCATATACACATGTTTATAATCTTTCCAGTTGATTAATTGAAAACTGGAGCTTTCATCTGCCAAATAGCAACTTTAGCTCTTTCTCTCACATCCAATTCTGGATCATGTTCCAGGTTCTCAATCTTTTCAAGGATACCAAGTTGTTTCAAATTATGCACGCGTTGTGCGCAAGCGGGTCCATCATTCGAATCATCTACCCAGGTGAGGTTGGAGACTAGAAAGCACAATGCGACGCGTACTTCGTAAGCTTTATTAGTGAAGTGGGGGACGAGAAGTTTAAGGAGTTCAGTTTGGGCGATGACGATTTGACGATGTTGAGGGATGCTGGCGGCCATATGAACTAGAATGTAAACGACAGCGACAATAATCTCTGGTTGAGGGGTAATGACTTTCTTTTCCTGTGCATTAGAATCTCGGCGATTAGCGTTGGAGGGAATATTGATGATCTTTGGTCGAAGCTTGGATGCCAGAATATCGAAAACTCGATCTTGACCCAAAGAATTGAAAAGAAAGTCAATCATCTCAGTGTTTTCCGCAGTGCCACTATGGCCTGATCCTGCACTTGAAATCAAATTTCGTATGAAATCCAGACCTTGTTCTTGAACAGCAAGATCGTCTTTTCTGGCCTTTTTAGCAGGATTTAGTTCAGCTTCCCTAAGAGCTGCAAGTTTAGCTTCTGCTTGCTGTAAGCTTTTGCTACGATTGCTACTACTAGATCTGGAGTTGCTTTGGGCTGGAAATGAACCATTCATTGGTGTTTCAAACTGACCCATCTCCACATCTTCGTCCATAGCATCACCAGGCCCAGAGGCTATGCTATAACTGCTTTCTTTGAGAAGTGCTTCGTCTTCCGTGTCGTTACAAATGAGGTGGTCTAACCATCCAGAACCTAACTCCTCTAAACACTTTCTTTTGGCCTCGTTGCCGACACCACAAACAAAGTGTTTGAGTGCCCAGGTAGCATTCAGACGAAGCTTTGCGTTGGTCGAGTGCGCCTGTTCACAAAGAATCCCAAGTACCCCACATTCCATGAAACTCTGCGAATAAATTAGTAACGAGTTGATAATAGCATCGAGTGTGTACAAACCTCTCGCATTGGGGCAACGTCAGTCAAAAGATTACAAACCGCAGCTGTCGCAGCAATCTGGACCTCGACGTCTGAGTGACTGAGAAGGGGAAATATGGGTGCAACCACCCCATGATCAATCAAGGTAGTCCGGAGTATACAGACCGATCTTGCCAATGCGCGGGTAGCGGTACAAGCAGCGATAAGGACGCCCACGTGGTTGATCCCATAACCATCCTGCTCACCCTCAACGCCCCTTGATTCGGGTTTCTTTTCTGTTTGGTCACCTTTATCATTGACCTTGATTGATGGTTTTTGGGGGCTAGGGTTTAGCGATTCGACAATATAAGGAATGATACCATTATCCACGACGGACTTTCGGTGTTCTTCTTTGAAAGGAACAAGAGAGGCTATAGCTCTCAACACGCTTTCCCGTACTTTTATTTTGTGGACAAGAAGAGCGGATTGACCAGGATCACCAAGACGTGAGGACGGGGTTTGTTCCACATAATCCTCAGCCTCATCCGACTGAATAGGTGACCAGAATTGGGTATTTTCACTTTCTGGTACTGGCTCATAAGCCAATTTAATCAATTTAGCTAGCTTGGGCATTGCTTTGTTTTGAAAAGTGGCCTTTTGAAGATGTTCGCTATCCGTTATCAGTAAGGATAATATTCGTGGAGCCATTTCCGTGATTAACCATTCCATCCTCAACGTTTCATGATCATGAGAAGCATCTTTAGACCTTACTGGGGTGGTCTCTTCATTCAACATCTGCACAAGAAGCGGCACGACTAACAAAGCTAATGTCGGTTCTCGGACTTTGTTGATAAGGCCGGCTCGAAATAGAACTGTTAGCAGATATGCAGCCATGAGTCTCTCCTTGCCTTCTCGTGACCTCATGATTAATATCAAATATGCAACCATGGGAGTTTCAGATTCATCTGGAACCACATGACCTTCTTGCGGTGAACCATTGCGCTCCGGGGCACCGCCCCATGTGGAGGCAGAACTAGACTTTCCACGACCATTGAGAGGTTCCCGAGAACCGGATGAACCCAGTGGCGGAAATGCGGAAGCCTGTGCGCTCTTGACCGGATGTTGTGGAATAATCGGGAGTAAATAATCAATAGCATTCAATTGGCCTTGCTTTGAACTTTTACATGCTGTATTGAACGTATTCCAAGCAGCTCTCGAGTGTTGGGGAATCGGTTCCTCCCCTGCTGGAATCGATGGGAATACGGCCATAACTGATGGGTGATAAAGTAGTTGAGAAGCTCTCAACTTGGATTCGGCTACAATGCTAGCTAGAGCCTCTAAAATCGCCGGAAAACTGGCGTTTGAGGGCGAAGCTTGGGGGAAGTATTCCAGTAATCCGTCCCTATGCGCAATGATATCTGCACCTGGGATGACCAGTCCCTGAGCCACAACAAAGCTAGCTAGTTTCACAGCTAAAGCATCTAGAACACCGGAAGTTGCTAGAATTTGTTGGTGAGACTCCTGCAGGCATATTTGAGCTATAAGTGATGCCGCCAACAAGATCTGATTCTGTATAATGTGTGATGATGATGTTTGGGAAATGATGCGGGTTAGCGAGGCAAGATGTGGTCGTATGAACAACGCCGCGGCCAGAGATTTGATGGTAATAGGATGTGCACTTGTGGCAAGCATTGCGGATTCAGCAAGAGTGTTCAAGGCCCGAAGTGCTGCAAGAACTGTTTGTGGTGGATTATTCGATGGGCATAAGTTCGATAAGATAGCTGGGAGCGCAGAGCCATAGTGTAATGGCGCAAGGAAGGCTGGGCCACCTAATTTATGTTAACAAGAGGTACAATGAGTATAGTAAATCTGCTAACCATATGCAAGGCTTCCTAAGACTTGAAGAGCTTGCAGTCGAAGCATTTCCTCCTCCTCCTCTTCTTGTGATGGTCGGATCGCATGACCATGGTCGTGTGCCTTTCCGTCCTGAATTTTGGGAACCGACTTATTGAAACATAGGCGTACGACAGGTTCCACAAGGCCCATGGTTACAACCATTTCTTTCTTTAAAGCATGTCCAACGATTTCATTCTTAAGACCTTTCAAGTTGGCGATCTGCTCCGAGGTAGACCTGGCATTTCGAATCAAGAGCGGCCATCCTTGTGTGGCTAAACTTCTAGCCATATTGTACTTTCAAACCTGTGAATGTAGGGAAAACTCTCTCGAAAAGAGCACCCGATGACGAAGGAAAGTTATTAGAGTAAGCAGGAATTATTTTTGAAGTGATTTGTGTTCGACAGGTAAGCTGGTGTGATTCGTGGTTGATTTATTAGTAGTAGGTTGGATAGAAAGAATGTTTGAATGTTGTACGCAGATAGGATAGGGAATTTGTTAAGGTTCTAATAGAACTAAGGGCAATGACGAATGAGTAGTATCTCGTACCATACCTACCTTTTCTAAAGAGGAGCCTCTAACAACAACAAGAACAAGAACAACGACAACAACAACAACAACAACAATGTAATTGTCAATGGTTCAAAGACAGAAAACAAAAAGCAGTGCAGTCAATCGTTTGAAGAGCAATCCGGTATGTTCAACAATTATTACAATGTGGAAAGACCTTAGTAGGTAAGGTAATCGAAACGGGTAGATATTTTGTCAGTCAGCTAGACATGACCTAGGAGATAGATATGTTCTAAGTTCTGAACCGAACACTCTTTCTTTACTATTACTGATGGATGACGCGCTACTCTGGAGTCTGAAGTTTACCTTGAGCGTGGGATTGGATTGGGATTCTTCACATGGATCGGAGGTAGGGAGGGAGAGACGTAGTGGTAGGTACCTAGGTAGTTCATGGCATAAGATAGCGAAAATGATATAAAGTGATATAAAATGATCGGGTAAATCAAACACCAAATACTTGACAGAATGAGAAGAGGGTATTATTGTACCACGAGTCATTATCACCTGCTATCTATCGCATACATGTTCAGGTACTGACTGTACTTGAACATTAACCGGAATCATTCTCAAGCAGAGTTTTCCGGTCAACACTTTCCTTTCCCTTTATTGACTGCTAGCTGTTTCCTTTGGCTACTTTACTTCCTCCTTACTAGATACCTACACATACATCGCAAAGTCGGTATAAACAAAACCTTATAAGACTGTACATTTCTACCTTTCTCTCCTAGGTCCTTCCACGATTATCAAAAGTATCGAATCGCAGCTACTTCTGACACCACGCCCTATCAAAACCCCACCCCATTGTTCTTACCCACGCAACTCCACTCCGCCAATTTAGTCCAAAGTCGGAAGGCACTGATCATGATTCAGTTTGGAAAAGGAATATGTTGAAGTCGCCATCACTGAACAGATCTCAAGCTTCCCCTATTCTCTATCACTATGCGCCTACTGCGACACGACCCTCACTGTCGCGCAGAACATCGGCTGCAAACAAACCTTCTCCCTCGCCACAATCACAATCACAATCACAACCACAACCACAACAGCAATCGACACCCCAGTCGCAACCAAAGAAATGGGTCTATGTTGATGCATCTACACAGTGGAGTCCTCCCATGATGCCTTCCAGGATGGCAGATGGAGCATCGCCGTCTGTGGAAGTGAAAGTAGAAGATCCACCTCCAGAACCTACCATTGCGCCAGAGCAACCCAACGTCAATGTATTACGAAATATAAATCCACCGATACAACCGGAATCACCAAGCATGAAGAGACGCCAATCGGTAATTGAAGATGCGAATACTCCCAGTAGAAAGGAGTCTTTCTCGAAGAGAGTAAAACCTCAAACGTCCGTGAAGATTTTGCCTCGACAGTATGAGCACTGTGAGGAAGAGGATATGGTCATTCTTATCGCTAGTATGATCGCAGAATTGATCCAAAGAAATGATGCTCTTCCTCCCCAGGGCGGGGTGTTAACACGCTTTCATTCTAGGTATGTATATTCATATTGTATCAAGATCCCTCTTTACTAATGGGTTCTAGATCACCTCCCGGGATTTCTGTTCTTGATTATCTGGCGCGGCTTGCAAAGCATGCAACCCTAAAACCTCCTCTTTTACTTTCCATGGTTTATTATATTGATCAACTTTGCGCATCATACCCTGCATTTACAATTACAACATTGACTGTTCATCGATTTTTGATCACAGCAGCGACGGTAGCCTCAAAAGGACTTTCGGATATTTTCTGGAACAATTCTACGTATGCGAGAGTTGGTGGAGTCAAATTAGCAGAATTAGGATTACTGGAGCTTGAATTTCTACACCGTGTTGATTGGAAAATAATCCCAAAGCCAGAAATGTTGACCGATTATTACAAAGGGTTAATTGAGCGAAACGAGCGTTATAAAATGGAAGGAGATATGACGGATGAATCTGATGAATTAGAAGATGACGATGAAGAAAGCGACGAGCCTGATACCCCCGAGCAAGCCGAGGTTGGAGTTGACGCAGATATGAGTGACATGAAGGAGTCAGATGCTCCCAATCATAAGACAGAGTCTGGACATGAAGAGTCTTCACGGTCAAAAGGACCCTGATTGCGGCTTATAATACCCTTTTCTCTTTCGCCTTGATTCTTTGGGTTTATGGCGTTGGGTAGGAGTAATTTTACACGGCATTGATAAATAGATCAAGGGGTGCCTCGGTGTTGTCTGTTTATGAGGAAATCATGTATATACTCAAGTTGAAATGCAAATGGCATTAGTGGCCAAATCTTATGAAAAGCTATTACTCTTGCCGGCAAAGAGTCATGTTATGTCGAATCGGTAGAGAAGAAACACGAAATAGTCTAGGAATATTATAGGAAAATATCAAATTTCTTGAGTCGAGGCCGTAACTGAATGAACTCTCAACGTTGTACATTGTGTCGTACAATCCATACATCTATATCTAAGGTTGAAGTTGATCCACAGCATGGAATCTCGAACATTCGCGCTTATCATCTTACGTAATCACAGCCTTCCCCAGACAATAGCTCCACGAAGCTCAAATCTCCAGGTTCACTCCAACAATTCAATCCGATAACTCAACCACAATCATGAAACCCGCCACTCTCCTCCTCGCGCTCTGTGCACACTTCCTCCCTTCTACAGCTGCAATTACCGACCAAACAGACACAGCAACAATCTACATACAACCCCTCCTCTCTGCCTCCGCATACCCGCTAGCAAGTATATCCTACAACCCCTCCACCCTCTCCGCCTCCCTCTCGTCCTACGATCCTCCTACCGATCTCCTTCCCGAAACCTTCTCATTCCCCGAATCGGACTCTCGTAACCCCAACGAAAATCTCGCTCGCATAGGCATATTCGATCCTGCCACCTCTGTCTTCAAAAGCTCCACTTCTCTTCTCTCGTTGTCGAATTTCGAAAAGGGCTACAGACCGACTATTCTTTTGACGTTGGATTCGCAGGGTGCGGTGTTGGGGGTTACGATTAAGAGTGGTGTTATCGATGCGGGTGCTACGAGGGATTTTGCGCCGAAAGTCGAGATTAGACGGATGGTTGAGGGGAAGGAACCAGTTTTGGGTCCTAAGGTTGTTTTGAGTAAGGAGGGAAAGCTGGAGAAGGAAGTGCCGGAGAAGTCGTTTTTGCAGAAGTGAGTATTTCTTTGTTGTTGGTTTTTGCGTTGGGACCAATTGGATGGATGGATGTGCTAATGTTGTGAATTTTAGGTATTGGTGGATTCTTTTGGGAGCAGCGATGTTGACGATGACTGCTGGAGGATCTGAGTAATAGGTGCGACTAGAGAATGGTATCGGAATTGGACCGATGCCTCGGGAGTACATGAGCGTCAGAGAGCTTCATTAGACATCGTGATTGCTGGGAACTTCTACGAAACGACATGAGGATCAGGTGTCGGCCGACTTCATCATGTAGAATTCTTGAACTCTCACGATAGAAGGTCGTCATGACGCGCAACATGGTGTAGTATACACTCTAGGACTTTCCCAGAAGCAGAAGGTAAAGACGTCCCGAGGTAATTGGCGACGTCGCTGTGTAATAGATCAATGACTAGCGAGCTCGTCGCTTAAAAGTAACATTATACCCACGGCTTTTTCTAGCATGTCGATAACCTATAAATGCGCACGTGTTGAGTATAGGTTTATAATTCGAGCATAATATACATATTTCAAAATTACGATTTACCAGATCTCTTTTGCTTTCGCGGGAATATTGTTTGATTAGTGATGTGACGGAGAAGGAACTTTTCAAATTCGTTGTCGTCTTCTTCGGCGTTCAGTCTAAGTTTTGGGAAGGAGGCGAGGAGAAAAATTATCATCATTATCTTTAAATACGCGAAAGAAAGAGCCATAGAAACACAACGTAGAAAGATCTATATCTGGAAAATCGATCACAAGTAGAAGAAAAGAAGTACATGGTATGAAGACATCACGTAAATCACAAGAAGTAAACCTTTCACCACAGCTACCGAGTTCGCTTGATTTTACTCAAATGATGAATACACACACACTATCATCACCCACTCACTAATTCTCCCTAAATAACTGCACTGCCTCTATTATATAATATATGATGGTGTAGTTATCGATCGAAAAGATGTTGGACCTGTCACCGACCCGGTCGGGTCTCTCTTCCTACCGTTCTCGGGACATTCGTAGTCGCGCGCCTACGGATCAACTTCTTATAATTACGGTCGTTTGTAGTCCTATGTATTAGGATTGGGGAGTGATAAGAGATGCGTTATTGGCGTGGTTGTGGTTGTTGTGGGTGGGGAAAGGAGGTTGTAGGGCTGAAGACCCGGACTGGGCTTGCGAGGGAGGATGTTGGAATGGCGGGTGATGAATGTGGATATGGATGTACAGGTTTGATGAGGATGTACAGGTTTGGGAGGGATATATTGGGGATGGGATGGAGAGGTTAAGTGTGCTCGTTTTTCTGTATTTTTTGTTTGGGTGTTTTTGTTTGGGTATCTGAATACTATCATTATATCTATCATACGCTTCTTCGAAATTAATTATTCAATTTACGGAGTCGTAACTTACACAACCAAAGTACGAGTATAATGGGCAATTCATCATCGCATCATTCTGTCTCCTCCAACCTCCACTGCTACATCCACATCCCAACCCTCCTCCTCCAATTCCTCCACCAAATCCTCTAAACACTTTCTCATCCATCCCAATCCCTTTTCGCACTTCCACACACACACTCGTCGAACATCTTCTCTCGAAGAGCACGGATCGCTTTTGAAAAATGCAGATAACCATATGAAGAGGATGATGATGGAACGTATTTACTCCGTCGAGGGAGCGCTGAGTCTAGAGAAGAATGGCTAGCAAGGAAACAAATTATTGCTTCGAGGATTAAGGGGGATGGGCTCGGTGAGGTGGGAGTTAAGATGTGGAAGGATTATAGGATTGTGGATGGGAGGGGAGGGGAAGGCTTTGAGGGGTTTTGGGGGGGTGATTAGGTGTGATGAGTATGTGGTGTGGTTTTTGTATTTGGTTGGGTATATCGTTGGAGAGGGGTTTCGATTGAGGTGGGGTTTTCGGTTAGGTTTTAGGGGGTTTGTTTCTGGTTGTTTTTGTTGTTTTTTGAAAAATTGTTGTATGAAATCTTGTTGATCTGTACGGAGAATGTTGGTAGATTTGAGCTTGAAAATATTGCAGATATCTTGAGGTGTTGATAACTATGTTTGAGCATTTTTGAGATCACTTGAATATATGGCCTGAAGTTTTGGAAGGGAAGACTTTCCCGGGATCATCGAGGCCAACTCATCTGATCATTTGATTATTGATGGATGAAATGAGTATTCCGAAACGTGAAGACGTATTGACGACTGCTCATGGAAGATGGTGACATTCTTGTGTTGTAGCACTAGCTGTACTTGTTCCTAATCAGGAAGAAACCCCGAAGTATTAGAATGATAACGTAAAGCTGGTTAGCTCACTGGAGGCTAATTACTAGGGATAGCTTCTTGAATGGATTGCGACTCTCTTCAAAGATCTTTTAGTCTGTAAGAGGAGAGTGTTGACATTTCCATTTGTCCCTGGCATAATACTACATCTCAGCTAGATAGGTATGTACATTGTGAATGGACTTCCATCCATTTCCCGCTGCAGCTAATCAAATGTCAGTGGAACAAAGAATCTCGAGGGACTTTATACTTAACCACCTATGTACATAAAAATACTTTACAATTATTCTTCAACAATACTTAACCTTATTAAGCTTGAAGAGCTTAAACAACCTTATTAAGCTTCGACCGGGGTTATTCGGCAATCGCTGGAAATTAAACGCCAATTTCAGGGGACTTACAGGGACCATGATACTATTTATGGGGTATATTTGCTCTACAGAGTAGAAGCCAGAACAGCCATGCTAAACCAATAAGCCCATCCATTTATTCTGATTTGCTCACTTCACTTGGCCCTTGGCTACTCCCCTCAGCTAAAAAGTACTCAGGGTAGCTACTTCCACGTTGTCCTTTACTACTTTCTTCAGCTATACCTGTCTAGGGATTATAATAGGAATGATAATGTTGTTTACTTGGCATAGATGTTAAATGTCTTCAGCTCTTACCTCCACAAAATACACCACTACCTAGACAGCACATTGGGAAAAAAAACAACCCTGAAAGCTAGAATCTACCTACTTATCCTTGCAGAGCACACCTGCAATTGGGGGGATTATCAAAAGCAAATAAAATAATAGTAGTGTGCCTCTATTCTACGTGTCAGATTCCAACATCTTTCTTAAAATTGTTTTCTTCTTTTTGACGCCAAACTGCATTGTTGCTGAAGCCACTATCCAATTTTGTATCATATCCCACCGTACCGCTTTCAGTCACATCGGGACTTAAAATTCTGGAACATCGCGTTCGAACATCCTCCATTCTTAGATTCCAACACGGAAAACGCCTCCCCCTGATCGCATTCAGTTAGTCAGAAAGGCGTCTTTATGAATGGCTCGTAGACGCAGAGCTGATTCTGCTAGCAGCCAGCAGCAAGCATCCATGCCGGCCCAACGGCGTCGTTCCACCCTTCGAGATTTACAAGCTTCGAATGCCGATGGAGATGTCGTAGCCCCAAAGGTTATCAACGCTGCACCATCATTGGAAAAGGCCGAAATGTATGGAATCAATGATAAAAGATCGACGTCTTCGAAATTACTCGCAATGGCGGGGCGCATGTTCATTGAAACAATTCCGCAATGGTTGGCAGTGGGTGCTATGCTTGGATTGATTTTTGGAGGTTGTTGCTCGAATGTGAGTACTCCTAGGCGTTTAAGGGATTGGAAAGGATGAGGAGCTCATTGCATACATAGGTTTTCGCTTTGGAAGCCATTGTCAAGTAAGTTTTGACTCCATTGCTTTTGACGTTATATTGTTTTGAGTACCCCGCTGACATTGATGAACACAGAGTCGAGAAAGATAGCGGTACATCCCCTCCATGCACCACCTCATCGAATGCCATTCTAATTTTCTGAAGGAACTCTTATGACATTTGTTCAATTCATCTTTGTAGCTGTGACCAGCTACATCTCCCAATTCGAACGAAGTCGACCCCCGCTCTTCCTCGCACCAAATCGCGTCCCCATACGTCGATGGATTATAAATATTGTTTTGTTTTTTACAATCAATGTCATGAACAATCATGCTTTCGGATATAATATATCAGTGCCTATGCACATCATTTTGCGATCTGGTGGTAGTATTACAACGTTGGTTGCGGGATATCTATGGGGGAAACGATTCTCTAGGATACAAATTATAGCTGTCATTCTTTTGACAATTGGAGTAGTTACAGCAGCTATGTTCGATGCGCAGTCTAAGGTATTGTCACGCTTCTTATTCCATCGAAGCTCACTAACAATCCCCTCGCAGGACGGAAAAGTAGACGCGGACATGCCCTCTTTCAACACGGGTCTCGTCATCCTTTTTATTGCCCAAGTGCTCTCCGCAATAATGGGTCTTTACACGGAAGAAACCTACAAAGAATACGGACCCCATTGGAAAGAAAATCTCTTCTACTCACATATTCTTGCACTGCCTCTTTTCGCCCCTTTCTTCCCCTCCATGTATCGCCAATTCCTCAGGCTTGCCTCCTCCGCACCGCTCAGCCTTCCCCTCCTCGATGTCCAAACGCTCCCCTCCGACGTCGTCTCCAAATTCTCACAGATCTATCTACCAAGCCAACTCGTCTTTCTCGCTATGAATGTGCTCACACAATACGCCTGCATACGCGGAGTTAACTTACTTGCCGCTGCATCTTCCGCACTTACGGTGACGATTGTGTTGAACGTGAGGAAATTGGCTAGTTTATTATTGAGTATTTGGTTGTTTGGAAATAGACTTAGTCCTGGTACTTTGGTGGGTGCGTTTTTGGTATTTTTTGCAGGCGGATTGTATGGCTTAGATGGAGGGAGAAAGAAGGGTTCGGGTAGACTTAGAAGTAGTACTAGTAACGGAAAGGTGGGCTAGTCAAAAAATTATATATTATATAAAAAGCTGTGTGTCAAGAATTCAGGGGAAATAAGTTGTGAGATCTGATATTTTCCTTACATGCTTTTCTTTTAGCGATTATCTTTTCTTTAAAGTTCAAGAATGTTTCACCAGCGTCTAGAATCTTGCAAACTTTCGTCCTTAATTCTGAGAAGCTGATCCGAGGACTTCAGTGTAATTACATCATCACGAGGAAAAAAGCTCACAAGGTTGATTTGACGAGAAGATGTTGATTATAAAATATTCATTTCCTCATTACTTTCTTACTTTATATTATCTATCGTCTAACCGGTACTTCAAAACACCCAATCGTCTACGCCAGACTCCCATGAAGCAAATTGTAAGAAGCTGAATTGATGAAGATATTCTCCTAGAAATCTTTGCTGCGGATATTACTTAAACGAGTTTCCCCTCCAGTTCTTGATATCTTTTGTGAGTTTCAGCTCGTGGGTATTGGTGTTGCAAAACCGTTCAAACTTTAGAGTTAAGGAGTGGATGGTGTGGTGACTTGTGCCTGAGAGAGTCTCGAAAATACAAACGGATGTATCGCAGATAGATTTCCAGCATCGTATCTACTTCTCCAAATATCTCTTCTTGACCTTTTTTCTCTTCTCTCGCAAGAATACTAGAGAATTCCATATTACTCAAACATGTTCTATTCATCTCCGGTAGTCACTGCCTGCCGATGTATAACGCGACGTATCCAATCCAGTCCCCAGCGCTCTAGTCCCAAATGATGGTGGCGCGCGCCCTCCCTGAGTATGTCCTTCCTGACCATATCCACCATTACTATATCTATGAGAATCCCCATTACTGTTATAACCCCTCGGATCTTTACTACTACTACTGCTGCTGCTGCTGCTGCTATGTCCACTTTGCGATCCTCGATTTCCGTTTCGAGAAGTGCTGCTGCCTCTCGAAGGATCCCTCTTATACAGCTCAGAAGGGACGGGTACCCGACGACCGTTAGATTCCTGCAATTTTTTCTTCTCCACTTCGTGCTGTGGGATTTTCTTGACGGGCTCGACGTGTTCCCCGCGGGATCCGAAACAACAGCACATTTCGTTGGGTTTTGAGGAAAATGAAAGAAATTGGAAGGAGGAGAGTTCAAGAGACTGAGATGAAGGAAAGACTAATTTTCAGATCAAAAAGAGTGACTGAACAATTAAGGAATGAACAGACGCCTCTTTCTCAAGAAGTAAAATTAAATAAATACACGAAAATAAAGAGATCTTCCTCATCTATATACACTCTCCAATATCCACAGGATCACGAAGAAGTTAGTCGACCAAACACAATACCATCACCCGTCTTACAGCATCTCCACTGTCCATTTTTCAAACCCAAACCCTTCTCATCGCCGCTAACAAACCCCTATAACCAACTTCCCAAGTGCCTGAATCCAATCCCAGGGATACGTATCCGAAACCCAAGAACCCCGTACCCGGCTGTTTGTCAGCGCTTCTGGAGGGCTGAGTGGTCGAGGTCGATGGACCTTTGTTCGTTTCAGAGAACTAAAAACATGTCAAGGTCATAGGATAAGCGAGATCGCGAGACATCGGCCGCTGCGGTAAGGTACCTTATGGTGGTATGAAAATATAAGCTTCCAACTTCAATTTACTGTACTGGAGATCGAAGATATAGAATTGAGTTCTGAGTTTCACAATGCGAAGAGATGACTGTGCTACCAAAGCAGAGAACCTAGCATGAAACCAATCCATGAAAATACATATGCCATGAAAATGCATGTGCAAAGTTGTAGAGATACAGGTTTGGTAGCCGCCGACCCAGCAATCGGGTTACCAAACCATCGGGTCAGATCCTATGAAGATCCTTCAGGAAGCGGAAATCTTGGGGTATTTCATCATTGCCGGGTGTGATTCTAGATTGTTGTATGATCATTGATGAAGGTATTGGGATTTCTTGTCCCGGGTGGGTATTCAAAATGCTGAGGAGAGGTTAGTATCATATATCATTTTGGGAGAGAAGTTCAAGGGGATGATTTGGTAAGTGGGAAATGCTTAAATCGCTTCGTACTGTATCCCAAGATTTTACAGAAACAGCTCCGCCTCAAGACTCAAGCCTTCAAACAGTATACTCCCCCCATCTAATGGATGATATTCAGCTCAGTTGTAGCACACTAAGTTTCCACATCCTCTCAAACACAAGCGCTACTTGACATCTAAAACGCCTGATATTTGATAACATAGTCTCTTGGTTTGTATATCTTGAACGCTATACCTAGGATTTTAGGGGGGGGGGGGTCTAAAATTGAGATTTCTAGCGAGCCTGATTCGTAGTCATGAGTAGGAGATGGGAGAGTGGAAGAAAAGGACTTCACTACTATTGCTTAAGAATGGAATGCTAACTCTCGAGTCTCGGGTGGCATCAGTATGAACAATGATTAACCGTCCGCTGGCATAAATATTAAGATGGATAACAAACTCAGAATTGCTAATTCTACCCTTCGAATCTGAGTGCCTGGTGTTGGTGCCATTCAATCTGCTCTATCATTGTTTAGCAGATAGATTACGTGCAATGTGAGATATTTAACGACTCATTTATCCAGCAATTTACTGGATAATGTATTGATGGAAGAGCAAGTCTATATATGACGAGAAGCCGCTTGGCATCATAAATCAGCAAGTGTAAGTATTTTTCTGCGCGAAAGCACCACGGAATCTCAAGTGATGGGTCGATTTCTCGCTCCTGGTAGCTTATCGAAGCATGAATCTGGAATTAATATATATGTTCCTTTACCTTGAGGAATTCAAGATATAAAAAAACGACGGTACAAGAAACCCCATTCTTATGTTGTCTTAACAATTCTATCTTTCTGTATTTACTTTTCGCGTCGTGGTTCGACCCATGGTGCCTGGGTATTATCCTAATCTAATAGATTGATCATCTCTCATCAATCAGCTAGAGTATCAACAAAACTCCACAAATGCAGACACCACTCTCATCTAATAATCTCTCTCCCACCACTTGCAGCACCGCCCTCCTTCTTTCCACCAGATCCAGCCAACCAAGCTGCCGCATCGAAATTTTGCAATGGATTGGCGCCATTGGCACCGCCTGTAATTCCACCACCACTCTTCTGACGCTCCTGAAATTCCGCCTTGAGTTCTGGGTCCACTGTAAAAGACGTACTGTTAACATATAAAATATGGAATATATCATATGGCATGATTGTGAGGCCTCAAATATGACTCCCAGAACTCCAAGAAGAATATACGTACTATTGTCCATAAGATAAGGCATTCCAAACACAATAAGCATACTGAATCCAGCAATCAAGATCATAGGATTCTTCAATAAACTCAATGGCGAGAATCCCGCTCGTTCAAGATAATAGCTTTTCTCGACAAGTGGCATAACTTCCGCTGTATACTTGTGTTCTCCGAGTTTAGAAACTAGGATGTTCTCTCCCTTGTTGCTCCATTCGTTAGCGCGGAAAGTGGTAAATGCTTCAATGGGAATGAGATTTGACTCGGAGGATGCAGGATGGATATCGACGCGGAGAGGAATGAAAGCGTAGGCTGGAGAGGAAACGGTGAGAAGGTAGGAGCCGCTAGTAAGGTTGCGGAAAGAGAAGGAATTGGATGGTGTCAGAGGCGCGGTGTGCGTGTGAGAAAGGGTACTGAGGATTGCGTGGGTGGAGGGGGGGAGAGTTGATGGGTTTAGTTGGGGAGTCGTTGGGATTGTGAAGATGAGTTGAGTTGCGAGAGTGGAGGGGAGAAAGGAAAGCAGCGAACAAACGCTGATGACTGAAAGACGCATTTTCTAGATGCTTTCAGGGAGAGTGTCTTTTTGGGAGTTGAGAGCTACTTGAGGGTCTGGTCGGTGATGTAAGGTCAAACGTATCTTGAGTCGGAAAAATGAATGGTCCGAGCTTAGGTAACCTTGGGATTTATTTTAACACATTCGTTCTCAACAGCTCACTTGCTTGCAACATACACGATCACCATTTTTGTAATGATAGTATATCATAATTGAGTAGTATGTGGTATGTCAGTTTATATGTCGAATTGTATATCAAAGCACTTATTACCAAACTCAAGTACAGCTTCTACTTAGCAAGTGCAAAGTAAGGATAGTAATAGAAAATATCTATGCCCAAGCAATCTACGACACATCTATTCTTCTTTCTATTAGATACTTGATTATGGCTCTCAGTATCCGAAGCATATTGCACAGGGATAAAGGATATCATGAAAAGACATGGAAGATGGTTTTTGACCGGTTTTATCACATCATTTATTTTGCAAGTGCAAAGTTCATTAATGATACCATACCCGTATATCATCTCTTGCTTCGATCATTGATCATTGAGCTATTATGTTTATCAAGAGCCATCATTTCAATCACAGTAGAAGCTAGTCTTCGATCACGACTGAGAACCCATATCTCAACCTACAAATTCAATATCATGTTTCTAGGACCATATATCTCAAGCGACATTAGTATTCCAGCAAAATGTAGGTGGTTAGACAGTATGCTACAACACATGCACTTTGTCACAACATAATTCACACAGGCATCAGAGGAAAGAGAAGGATCCATAAACACAATATTGGTGGTTTTCCAAGATTCTTCTGTCAATCAGCATGTCGTCAATCAATTTTCACCTTGCGAATCGAGTGGTCAGAGTGGTGGACGTATGCAGCATCGACTAGGTCCACGACAACATTTTCTGACAGATGATTACCCCAAGTGATACTGGGAAATACTATCGTGGTGATTATAACCCCAGGTTGCTGCCGAGGTGCTGTATATCAATAATGATTTGTTTTAGCCAATATAGCACCATAACACATTCGCCTTGGAAACTTCACAATCCAATGTTTACATCTACTGATCTCTATCCACATACGATACCATATTAATAGCTTTACCGACATGAAATTTTCACAGTACACGCCTGCACTTTTCGCCGTCACATTGCAAAATTGTAAACCCAAGCATAACAGCACATATAATCAAGCTTAGCGAACTCCTCATTTCTCCATCACAAAACGGTATGAAGCATGGTTTTAGCAATAGCAGTAGGCAATCAGTAATCCTCAAGAATACCACCACTGGCTCATCACTACTCATCAGAAATCTACTGCTCATCAGAAATCTACTGCTCATCAGATATCTACTACTCAATCAAAATCTTCTACGAAAACCCAGATACCCCTTACTTTAAATCTCAATCTTCATCTTCATCTCAAGCCCCAAAGCACAAACATAAAAATTCATGTTGATCCTCATATTTTCATCTCCGTAACCCCTTTCCCTTTCCCATCCTCACCCACGCACACTCAAGCTCAAAAGATGAAACTCCCCCTCCCCTCAGGACTATTCTTCTTACTGTATATACCATCAATAAAAGCGTACACCACCACCCTATATACATCCATCCATCTAACGTCAAAGCTTTATCCAAGAATAGCAAACAACACAAACTCACCCGCAAAAAGCAGTCTTCCCTAGCACTCATCAACTACCATAAATATGATTCCTTTCCTTTCCACTCCACTTCTCTCCCCTCCCCCCAATCTACATTTTCAAAAGACACCTACCTACCTACCTTAGTACACCCACCAACCGGAGAACCCTCACAAAATACAAAACCAACAAGCTACCAGTAGTAACAAGTCCTCTCCCACCACCCCCGTAAGATCCAAAAACGAAAACAAAAAAACATACAACAGTGGGGATTCGCTGGTGGTCACCCACCCAACTACTAATCCACCGATCTGAAGCTTGTGTATGGCAGAGCGGACGGGATGCCCAATTCTCTTCAGTCTATGGTCGTATGTGACAGAAACAAGAAGAATTAGGAATATATTTGGAAGAAGTTTGAGGTGATAAACTTATGAACATACTGTGTGGTGAGTGTGGTCACAGTGGAGAGGTTGTGGTAAGGTTCATCACTTGAATGAAGTGTTGATAACATCTAGTTTGAACATTTAGTGCATACAATCAAATATATCGAGTTGAAGATTTCGAGCCTAGGATTGATAAAAATAACACCCCAGATGTCAAAAAGGAAAGTTCACACATATAAAAACCATATATAATTCACCCGAAAAAGGTCCTTGTTTGAGAGAAATTCATATTTTGGCTAACAAATTTGTGCAATTAATGACGATTAAATCATAAAGTCATAAAAGTGAATTGATTCAGAGTCGAGATAATACACAGACGAAACGGAATACTCCAATCCGAACGTCATTTCCTTCCCATACCATAACCCCATTCCGTTAATCCTTCCCAACGATCATACCCAATATTAAAACGTAATACATTTACTCGAATGGGTTGGTGTGGGTTCCCCACCAGGTAAGGAAGAGAGAGAGACCGACAGTCTCGAAGACGCGGGCGAGAGCTCCAACGGCAACAGTGTCGAGTGGTCGCTTCTCAGTGGTGACTTGTGCAATGAACTGGGGAGATTGTTAGTGAATGATTCTCGATGCATAATATTTCTAGAGGGATAACGTACAGATGGAGCAGACGAAGCCATGAAGATCAAAGATCCCAAGTATGCAGCACCCTTGTATGAGAGAGTACCGGTGGCATTGATCAAAGCACCAACACCATATGATTGGACGGCGCTACCAACGAGGGAAGTTCCCCATGCAGCAGCGGCGGAAGCAGCCTCCTTTGACTTGACAAACTCCTCCTTGGAGTTGGCAGCTTGAGCTCTGTGGTAGGTCTCGCCGAAGACTGGGCCGAGGACAGCAAGGGATGCAGCGTGGTTGAAGACGGTACCAAGGGCAATAGCCGATGGCTTAACTGGTGGGAGGTCTATTCGGAGTAGGTGTTAGTGGCAGCTAATTAGTGGGGTAGACGTGAATTGAAAGAAGAATGGGAGCTAGATGGGAGAAGGTGGTGATGGCATGATAATGCGCTGTAAGGAGGCATTGAGAGGATATTCCATTGACATTTCAACTTGGGAAGTGTTAATGGACAAATCCCAAGCTCAAGATGTCCATTCCAAAGCTCTCTCACAATGCTCCAGCATCACCAGTTCCATTCCAAGCCATCTCCATCAAAGGCGTCCCGAGCATGCATACGTACAGTGAAGAGACATGATGTGATTGTAAAGTGGTGGTTGATTGAAAAGATTAATTAAAGGATCTCGTTGATTAAGAGTTGATGAGATTGAATTGTTTGTGTGTATTGAAAAGTAGAGGAGAAATGTGAGAGAAGAGAGGGACAAAGAATAGATTTATGTAGCGGGGGTGAATGGAAGCTAAAGCCATTACGGATAAATTTGGGAAGGCACGTCATGGAAAGAGTTCCAAGGCATATGAAGACGGGGGGCTTATGAGAGGTTGGCATGATGGTGGAGTAGCAAACGGGTGGAAAATATGAGAATGATCGGGAAATCACTTTTTCTGGGTTGTCAAATGCATGGGATTTTGAGGTGGAGCCTTTTTAATATATTGCGAATCATCTACGAAGTATGTGGAATCTAGATTGATTGTGGATGTGATGTAAGTATACGAAGTACACATACATGCTAGATAATGTAGAATACCGAGTATACTCGAGTACAGTAAGTATACTTGGTACATTCAATGAGTATACCGATACGGGTACCTACCATATTATGTCCAATGGAAGTATCTATCCAATAGAAGCATATATCCAATAAAAGTGTGAATGCCTTAGGTACGTACCTAGAAGAAGTATATATCCAATACAAGTATATATCTCGTAACCCAAATATGTACTTCTCGATTGATCGAGCGTACTTGTCTCGAGCTGGTCTTAGCAAAACGAATAACTTGAAAAGACAAACTCATCGTCCCGGCCCATACACTACCACTACCACTACCACTACCACTACCACTCGCCTACGTATACTTCATACCTGTTCCTATTCCTATTCCTGTTCCTGTTCCCGTCCCCGTTCCTCTCTGTACAATGGATGTGCGATGTACCTTACCTGTCTAGATCTGATTCCCCTCCGAGCTCTCCCTCATTTATTAGGTCCACTCCTCACTCCTCACTCCACTCACCTTCCAGCTTTGCTTACTTGTTTGCTTGTTGCTTGCTTTTTCCATAAAAGAGCTCTGAGCTAATTTCCCCACAACTTTTCCATTCACAACCAGATTTAATCCTTCGTAGAGTGACATCATACACGGACCTAACTCTCCAACTTTAACATTGTGGCGTTATGGATCACGATTGGAACCATGGAATTCAAATCACGAGATTGTGGATTGACTTTGTGGCTAGTTTCCGCCGCTTTATTACTTTCCGCTCTGTGGTCATAAAACAGCGTCACTTTAACATCAACCTTAGGCACTAAGGATCTCGTGCCGTTGCAGTTACGTACAAAGTACCCACGCACCTAGAATGATCCTTTCCAGTTCCAGAACACCCCCGATTCATCTCAAATCCTTCTCCTCAAGACTCAAGACTCTCCTCAAGACTCTGAAACACAAGCTTAGACCAATCAAATTATATTCAATATGAAACCAGTCCTCTGTACTTGACACGTGATGCTCATTTGAATTTGGTTGGTACTTTTTTTGGCATCAAAACTCAATTTTCTTTCAAAGCATTAAAGCCCCTTTTCTCTTATTGTCGCCGATACTATCTTGGGTCTGAAGATTCCGTACCATGGTATTTTGGTGTTCCTATTTACTTTACCATTTGGATTTTGGATGGTTGTGAATTTTGAAGCCGGCGTTAAGTCAAGCTGTAAGATATGGAGGACCAGGAGTCTTTGCTGGGGCACAGGTCGAATGAAAGGTCGGGCGCAAGTAGTATTGCTAACGCATACCAATATGCTTATCGACGAACAGGTTGTTGGAGACCAACTTTGATTGTGTAAGGTGTATTTGGTTTTGTTTATTTAAGTTCGACTGTGTACCCAAGTCCTTCTATGTTACTGTTCTATCTTGCTTGTGTTATCAAACTCATCATCAGCTAACAATCAATTCTAGACCTTGCTTATTTTTAGCTACACTTTTTCTGACTCCATTATACATGATGAATAATAAAGTACAACCAAAGACTAGGCATATGGAGTTTAGAAATGTAGTAGGATATTTTCTACAAGATGATCAGAATACAAAGTCGGAAACTTTCAATTACACGGTAAGGGAATTCACAATCATCTTGTTGGATGTTAGACTAACATAACTATCTACTCAGGAGTCGAACTTTGGGTTAAAAGATCGTGTGTATGATACGGATGCAGAATTTGACCCGGAGAGAAATAAGACGCAATGGGAAAGATTTGAGAATCATGTTGTGAAACTCAACAACCAGACCCCTAAGAATGTTCAGTATAAAGTTCTTTACTGTATGTATTCAAATCACTGCTGCCATCACATGATACGCAACTGACAGTTTGAAGTGGGGCGTCATGGGGAAGGTTACCATAATATAAAAGAGACTGAGGTTGGAAAAGAAGCATGGGATGTATGTTTGATCTGACCCTGGGTACGCGATCCTTACTGACCTCTATAGTGCTACTATTCTCACTTGAATGGTGATGAAAATTCAACCTGGGCCGATGCTCACCTGGCTCCCACTGGTGTTGCCCAAGCTCTGGTGGCGAACGAGTTTTGGGAGAAACTAATCACTACACAAAAAGCATCTCCACCACAGTCCTATTACGTCTCACCCCTGACACGTTGTCTCCAAACATGTTCTCTCACATTCAGCAATCTACCACTTCCACTCACCTCCCCTCCATTCACCCCCATTATCAAAGAACTTCTCCGTGAAGGTATCTCCTCTCATACTTGCGATCGACGCCGCTCAAAAACTTATATCCACGCTTTCGCCCCTACTTGGAAATTTGAATCTAAATTCCCAGAAGAAGATCCTTATTGGCGTGCCAATTACTCGGAAACTCACGAGGCAGAGAATAGAAGATTCAAAGCTCTCCTGGATGATATATTCATGAATGATAATAGCACATTCATCTCACTTAGTTCCCATTCCGGAGCTATCAACACCATCTTACGAGTTATCGGCCATAGAACATTCTCCTTGAAGACAGGAGCTGTAATTCCAGTCTTGATCAAAGCACAGAATGTATTGAGAGAAGACCCAGCCCCAATATACAAAGGTCCAGAATTTGCCAAAGACCCGAAAGTATGTTCAGCGCCTCCACGTCCATCTGATATCCCAAAGCCAGTAAATGATATCGGCCTACAAAAACCCGAGGACGCTGTTCCTCCCCCACCACAGCCTCCAGCTCCGGAGCCAGCTACTCCCGCTGAGCCAAACCCTCCCACGGATCCATTACCACCCACAAATCTGAACCCACCCACCGAACCGCTCCCTCCCGCTGAACCAAACCCTCCCACGGATCCATTACCACCCACAAATCTAAACCCACCCACCGAACCACTCCCTCCCGCAGAACCAAACCCTCCCACGGATCCATTACCACCCGCAAATCTGAACCCACCCACCGAACCGCTCCCTCCTGCTGAGCCAAATCCCCCCACTAACCTAACGCCACCCGTGGATCCCGCAAACCCAGCAACAGTGGAAATGAATCCTCCTCCCGCCGAAGAAATACCTTCTCAAAATGTCGAGGTAAATCGTCCCGTCGAAGCAGCTCCACCCACAGATATACCAGTGAATCCACCCACCAACTCAATTCCACCCCCATCAAACGACCCTCCAACCAATCCCCCCATTGAAGCAAACCCTCCCATCAACGCAGCTTCCCCACCTAACGAATCTCTCGAGGTCGCTAAACCCGATCCCTTACTACCCGTTGACCCAGCACCGCCTGTTCCAGGAGAACCTGGCATTGGTGATGGGGTATCTTTGTAATTCTAGTTTATTATTATTTTGTTGAATGAATACTTTGTTTTTCAAACTAATCGAAATCTCTATTTTTTGTCATGATATCGTGTGATGATATTGTAACAGTACTGTGATTTTACAGGAAAAGGGATATTAGTTCTTTGCGTTTTGTGATGGATTGAGTAGGAATGTATATACAGATGCGTGAAGTATCTCGTCATATCATTCTTCAATACAGCTATATCGGAATTTAGCAAGGGCATATTAGGACTCAAGGATTAAGCTATTCTACATTTCTTGATCTTTCACGAGTAAGTTTCATATACATTTCAAAGAAATGAGAAGATGCAAAATATCGAGTGTTTTTAATTTTCAATCCATATGATCTATATATAGACTATGTACCTAAGTAATCTTACTCGAGAGAAGATTCCTCCCTCCCTCGGGCTTCCGTGATATACTAGGCATGCAAACTGCATCTATATTTCCACAGCGCAGCATCTTTCCCAGCTATGTCATCATCGCATTCATCTCTAAAGCCACCACAAACCAGCATGCTGTAAATGACTTTTAGACTCCAGGAATAAATGCAATTCTCCTAGCATCCCATACATCCATTGAAACCCCCATTCATTCCTTTTCCCAGAAAACCAGGAATCGCAAAATAGTTTCATCCATCTATCCATCTCACTTCACCTCCCTAATAGGCAACGCCTCATTCTTCTCCACCAATTCTCCCACTCCCAATCCCCTCCCCACCTTAACCTTCCTTTTTTTCTCTGCCGCTTCGCCATCCTTCCCCTCCTCAATCGCCTTTACATCTTTTGCACTTCCTGCGCTTCCCACAGGCTCTCCTTCATCTCCTTCCTCCTCATCGAGTATCTGCTCGCGGATGTATGACAGATCCAAGTTCATAGAATAGGCATCTTCACCATCGGCGTAGTATTTTGCTTCGATTTTTTCGGTCTGGAAACCGAGGGTATCGCGGTAGAGACGGAGGGCGGCTTGGTTAGAGACGCGCACGTGTAGGGAGACGTATTGGGCGGAGAAGGTTTCGACCATTGCTTTTTCTGTGGGATTGACATGGGATGGTTAGTTTCTCTTTTTATATTGTCAAGGGAATTTATAGTCTTGATCTTAGACTTAATCCTCATCCCTACGGGTGAAGAATAAAAAGGAATGAGATGAGAGAAGAAACATACGACTCTGCCTCATCAATTTCTCCGCAATCCCCAGACGTCGATGCGTGCGCATCACACTCAGACTAGTGATATGACCATGCTGCACGCCATCCGCAGGATCTTCTTCCATTTTCGCAAGAACATAGCCGACGATGCGCGGGTAATCGTAGGGGGTTTTCTGGGGCCGCGAAACGTCGACTGCGACGAAGGAGAGTTGGGGCCAGGAGAGTGCATGGTAGAGATAGTATTTCATGAAATAGCTAGAGGGGGGTTAGTGAGTTTGGAGGGGTAGAGGGGAGGAGGGAAATACGAACTTTTCGGGAAGATTCGTGATGTTGGCATGTTGAACATGTGGAATATCAGAGGAGCGCAGGAGTCTGATATCCATGTTTATTAATGCGATGGCTTTTCTTCCAATTCTTGGGGTTTGTAATAGAGGGCGGATGTGAGTTATGGGAAGGGAATAGCTGGTTGGTTGTGGCAGAGCTCGCTTTGACAAGTCGACAATTGGTGGGATGGTGTAATGCAAAGCTTCCTCTCTCACCACATGTAACTGGTGCGCTTAATCGATAAGAACTAGGAAATGATAAATGGACCCTGGGAGTTTCTATGCCGACAATTATGTAGAACCCCACCATAATGCTCAAGTGATGTATGTGTGGTGGGGGTGTGAAGAAGGTAAATACCCAGGTAGGTAGGTTTCTGCTGGTTATGCATATATAAAGGCTGTTTAGGCATTTCCTTCTTTTTTGTTCATATTACTTACCCATTGATTGATCAAGCGATCTAGTAATCAAAAGATAAAAGTGCAATTATCACTTCTGTGGTATAAAATTAGACTGCTCGAGGGATTCATATTACATCAAAAACTACGCAATGGCTTCAAATAGACCCTTGGAAGGCAAACTTGCTGTTATTACTGGTGCTTCAAGAGGTGAGTCAATTGCTTATTGTCATTTCTATTCTACAAATCTTTCTCTATGTTCTCCGTGCCTTCTTTCCGCTTCTACCCTACATTTATTATCCTAAAACTCCAACATCAACTAACCAACCCCCAGGAATCGGAGCAGCAATCGCCGAAAACCTCGCATCCAAAGGCGCCAACCTCGTCCTAAACTACACATCCAATTCCTCCGCTCCTCTCACCACCGAGCTCTCCAAGAAGCTCGAAGAAAAACACAACATCAAAACTTTCATCGTCCAAGCCGATGTGTCTGAGAAATCCGGCGCAGAAACTATCATCAACAATAGTAAATCCCATTTCTCAGACACCTCCGGAAAATTCCAAATCGATATCCTGGTAAACAATGCAGGTGTATCCAAAAACACACCCATCCCAGACATCACAATCGATGACTTTAACTGGCAATACAAGATCAACGTACTTGGTCCCCTTCTTCTCTTACAAGCCGCACTAGACTATCTCCCCCACGATAGATCCGGCCGCATCATTAATCTCGGTTCCGTCTCTAGTTCCGAGGGTTTCTGGGGCCAAACGGTGTATGGCGGTACCAAAGCAGCTGTAGATGCCATGACGCGAACCTGGGCACGCGAATTGCATGATCGCGCAACGGTAAATTCTATTAATCCAGGTCCGGTGAAGACGGATATGTGGGCAGGTGCCTCTGCGGGATTTAAGAATGGGGTGAAACCTTGGATTGAAATTACCCCTGGAAGTAAGATCAGACCGGAGGTGGATGATCAGGATTTGGTAGATGATGCGCCAAATGCGGGAGGCAGACCGGCTTATACTTCTGAAATTGCGGGTATTGTAGGTATGTTGTGTACGAGTGATAGTCAATGGTGTACTGGACAAGTTGTATGTGCGAATGGTGGAATGGTTTTCAAATAGGGTTGCTAGCATCTAGTTTTGGGCATCAAGTCTTAATTTGAGGATAGTTGATCGTGGATAGATTCAAAGCAGATTCTAATTGAATCAGTTTGACCATACATATTGAGAAGTCCATACTGCTCTTCTTTTGGTCTTGGCAGATCATTTCATCTATTGTAGTGATGATATCGTGAATTGAAATCAATTCCTCATCATCCACTCCTTAATTTTCGGCAGATAGTCTTTGGTTTGGTCTCGCCAAGTCGAAAGTGATAATCATGTTGAGTTCGGATGAATATGCGCGAAGCTTTCTCATAGATATGAAGAATAACTTCTCAGGTTGAAGAAACGAAGATTTCTGAGAAGTTGAGATAGAACGAGAACTTCTCGGATATCCTTCGATTTTAGGTAATAATGACGCTGTGATATTGCGTCGATGACTTGGCCTATCAATAAAGTATAATATTTTGTGAAGTAGTCGCTTGTTTGCGACCGACATTGTATAGTAAGCTCGGTGGTGTAGGGAGGGCGAAAATGATGTCTTTCAAGATGGAATCGGCCGACTTTGAATCCGGCATGATTCGGGTCAACTTGACAATCCTCGGGTGGAAATTGATTTTTGAGATGGAGAATCGGTACATGATGCTTGAGCCTGTTTGAATCTAGAGGGATTTCGTTCGTCGTCACATTCTAGTTTGTCGCTGCTTACTCTCAGAATGCAGCTTTCTTTGGTCGTGGTACTTGCAATTGTCATTTGTCGAAGTGTAGATGAAGCTCACGTCTTACGTGGCACCATAGAATATATACACATTCTATGACAATTCCGAGAGACAGCTCGTTTTTGTCCCGGGCATCACGAAGTTTTCAATATCTTGTTCAACGCAAATCATCAGTTGATGATTTGTGATGTGTTTATTGATGAAAGCTGCATGATGAATGAAACAAGGCGGAAGTAGTCAGCAATCAGAACTCTCCAAGTCCGCTAGTTCATTATTGGTGTCCTCGGGTAGTTGTGAAGCGGTATTTTCATTTAATTTCTTTAGTCTTACGTGATAGAGACACAGAACAAGAGTGACTTTCACATGTAGAGCATTCTATCCCTGCCAGGAAAAGACAGAGGAAATGGGCTACTGTTAAGAGCCATATTGCTTACAGCAGAGATAAAGTCTGTAAAGGTCTTCGGTACAAGTCGAGATGCCCACATCAGCACTCTAGGAGCTTATGTGATGCAAGACTTGCCGGCTTCGAGTGACGTGAGGCTATACACAATTTCAGCATCACAAATGCAAATCCTCAAGTGGAAGTACTGCAACGATGATCATAGAAGTCGACCAATGGTAGGAATGACTTACTTGGAATGATCCAAATTTCATAATACCATTCTTCACCACGAGGCCCATTATTCGGTGATAGGGCAAGATATGTCCCCGCGGATTTAGCGGCAGCCATCATCCCCAGATGAAGCTTCACGATGGCAAGTTCAAACATGATATCGAATTCTGGCTGACCTGTAATCTTTAGATATCGAAGATTTTGTAATTTGCCTATCAACAATGGGGATCGATGGCAGTTATCCACAGCAGCTTGCGAGTGATATTCGATAGATAAATAATGAGGATGAATGTTGTAAAAGTGTTCCTTTGCTGGTGTTTCCACATGCAATCTTGGAATGATATACATTGGCCATGGATAACTTAAGCTTCCCGGAAACGTAGGAGTAAGATGTAAAGTCAGTGAGGTCAGTGGAGCATTAGAAGCCATGATCTCTTCGAGGATTGGCTCTAATAATCTGGTCTCGGAAGATGGTACTGATAACTCCAGACTCTTCAGAAACCGAACACAATCATATGTGATGGCAAAAACAAAACGACATAGGGAAGGTCGATATAACATAAATCGAGGGTTCATTCGACACAAGAATTCAGCCGCATCATTCAGGAACCAATGGTTCACACGGAATAAAACTGCTCCTTCATGGACGAAAAAGTCGTGACATTCTGCTTCAGAGAAAATATCATCTCGACATCTCAAATTCCTGAAGAGATATGAGTAAATCTCATGCCGAAGCTCCGCTGGTAGATTGAAGAATCCATTACATGGTTCTATAATATGAGCATCTTCCTGGGCAGGAAGCGTCCGAACTTCTTTCCAATAGTCAGTTGTGTGGTCACAAATTGACTCTATCTCTATGATGGACCGTACTTTTTAGCTTTGATAGAAAATCTTCAATCCTTTTATATACCCCAGGTTTGTGGGTGGTCTTGTGGTGAAGACGCTGTAAAGATTGTGGTACGTGCGGCATGGTCAGTGAAAACTGTAGATCGTCACGATAATGACGAATATCTGATCGTATTGGGTGAAAATCGAAAAGGGGTTGAAACTTTGAAGTCCGGAGTCAGGAGTCAAGAGAGTTGGATTGGATTTCAGTGTAGGGCATAAGGCATGTTGGTGGCTTGATGGATGTTGGGACACATATCAAAAATGTGCTCGTGTTTTTTTTTTTCCTTCTACAAACGAACCATGCAATATCAGCTGTCATCTCCAACTTATTATTGAAAAGCGGAATCCAGGGGAACAAGTATGGTACGGTACGTATTTACTTGATAGTAGAAATACGGATGAAACGAGAATTCCGGATAGACCATTTGAGCGCAATTTAACTTCCTGATTGAGGCGACGATCAAAACTCATCCTTGTGGAACGATCAGGGAGAAATCTCAAAGCGCTGATATGTCTTGCCCTGTCTTCTCCGCCCCTTTGCCTTTTCGCCCTGGTCAATGCCGGAAAATCATTTCCAGGTCAACGTCCAGCGCTTGTCACAGTGGCACTGGACTGGCACTACTCGTACTGGGTACACAATTTGGTACCGAAGGAACTCGTAAGCATGAACTCTAACTGAAGAAAATTGTACATGTCACATCCGTACGAATGTGGGTATAGCCATGCGATGCAAGTGGTAACAGACGCCGGACGTATGACGACAAATCGAATTTCATGAGGGAGAAAATTAAGAAAGCAAGGCGGCTGGGAAATGCGGCGTAAATGATCAATCCGCCACAATATATACATGCTACTCGTGTAGAACACGAGAACGAGATATAACCAACAGTGTACCAACAAGACGGTTTAATTTCATTAAACCAAGAGCCCAATGAATCCACAAGATTGCAATATTGAAGGCACGACTCCTCCGCTAACATCGCCGATGATAAGGATTAGGACGGGTCGGTTTTCGTCACTCTTCAATAGCCGTCGGCAAGAGCACGAGGCAAGCAGATAGATGCATGCATAATTGAAACTTGACAAATCATGAAGGAACAGAAAGAACATCTTATATTGGTTATGCCCCAGATGTCAAAGGAACGATCTCAATCTGTCAACGTAGTACGAAAAATGGACGTGCAGGTGGATATGTGGAGTTGTGGGTTTGTGGATTTGACGGTGTTGATTCAAGACTCCGCGAAATTGGCCACTTTCTTTCTTTCCCTGAGCAGCACGGTCTAGAACAATCATGAAGCGATATCAGATGAAAGGATACTCAAAGTTTCTAACATAACTGGCAATTCGTCCGATACTTTCCCAATACGTCCAGAGACAGAAAACATCCCTTTACATTCAGATAAGAAATGGGAACGTTTGGTTGCAAATAGTCAAAGGGCGAAAGACTAGGTATGAAATTGAGGTTACCTTCTGTTCTCCTCGCCACACATTAGTCCATTCTATCGATCTAGAGTCGCGGAGTTTGTTTTCAAGGGCCCTAATGCAGGCAGTGTTGCTTCGAAATGGCTTCCAAATAACACCAAGTACCACACCAGCAGCGAATGTCTTCTTCGTGTTTGAATGCAGGTTGAGTGCACAAAACAAGTGAATCGAAATGCCATAATCTTGAATCTTGATAGGAAGATGAAGTATAACCAAGAGATTGTAGCTACCATAACGATAAACTGCTCAACTGCATATGAAAAGAAAAGACTCTTCATTCTAATATCCATTATCCCAAAGATTGTTAAGTACATTCAATAACTACAATTAAACAAATGAAATATGACCAAGGAGACTTGAAATACAAAGGGCTGACAGACATCAAAAACCCCATTAGATCTTGCTCAACTCTATTATGTACTTGAAAATACAGATCGACCACCATATTATAACATCGTCGCAATAATCAGATCACCAGCCAGAACTTATCAAATGCATATTCCACAATCATAAACATAATACCAATCAAGAATCGAAATCAAAATAACCGAACAAAAGAACTCCGTATATCATCATGGCCGTTATACATATCATGATCAATGCTTTTCCGAAGCAAAGACCTTTTTCCCCAATGTCATAAAGCTCTTGAAAGCATTCTTTGGTTTTTCCGCTGGCTTTTCCGATGGACGAGAGCCTCGAGATATGGGTATCTCTGGACGAGAGCCTCGTGAACTATAAGAATTCGAATGATGTCTCGTCGGTCGTCTTTCCCGAGTAACTGGCCTCGAGTTAGGTTTGGATTCTCCGTTGTCGACATCGTTTTCGGGGAATGGTTCCAATGATTTATCACTTTTTTCCTCCAGTTCTCGATTCCTGGCCTCTCGTTCCTCGATATCCCTTTCTTCTCGCCTTCTTCGTCTCTCCTCACGATGTTGACGCCTCAACTCATCGTCCTTTTCTCTTTGGAGTTTATTTTCTGCTTCCGCTTCTTCCTTGGCAAGCTTTTCTTGTCTTTTCATCTCCCTGCGAGCTCTTCTTGCCTCCTTCTCCTCCTCCGTCTTATACTTCTCCCTGGTAGAATCTCGTCGACTTGGCTCTTTCCTGGAACTATAAGTTCGTTCAGACTCTCTGCGAGACGACGAGTGAGAATGGTGTGGATATGACCGAGATGATTTTCTCGTATTAGAACTCATCTTTGGACGTTCTGGTGTAACGTCGAACTGAGGTGGGCCTGGCTCGTCAACGATGGAATCCCTTCTGGAGCTTGTGACGGGGGTAAGCTTCTCCTTGATATGTGGCTCGTCGTTTGCTATGAATGGACTGGTAACTTCGCTTTGAACACGCTTCTTGAGACTGAGAAGTCGGGATCGAATACCGTCACTTTCATGGGGAGTGACTGAGTATGACTTTGAAATGCTTTCTCTTCGTGATCTTGATCGCTTTGGAACGGCGGATAACGGAATGGATTCGGATTTTTTCTTTTGCAGTGCCTCCTCAGCTTTTCGTGCCTCTTCCTCAGCCTTTAGGGCTTCTTCTGCTCTGAAGGCTTCTTCAGCCTTGATTGCTGCCTCTCTTTTAGCTGCTCGGCGTTCCTCCTTTTTCCGGTCGTGCTCTTCTTGCTCCTCTCGATTGCGGTCTCTACGATGGCGTCGGCGACGTTCACGTTCATCGCCCACACCCTCAATAGCACTATCTCGACGATCTGGAGATTGCTTTGCTGGAGAAGTACCACGGGTTGGCTCCTCTTTATCCTCCCTTTCTTCTTTACGGCCAGACCTACGTCGATAAGAACGCTCGGGCTCGTCTTCCCTGTGGCTAGATCGTCGGCGATGAGCCCGTTCTGGTCGCTCTCTATCATCTCCCTTCTGACTAGATCTGCGACTACGATAATTTTCTTTATCATCTTCTTTATCACTAGTTCCGCCACTGGTTCTGTGACTGTGAGAATGTCTTCGGCGTCTTGGCTGTTCTTCTGGTCTGCTGGAAGGTGGATATTCACCATATTTGGTTGAGTTATGGTTACTGAATGAGTGATGCCTCGAGCTCCTGTGTCTGCGCCTGTCTTTATCCGATTTTGAAGGAGACTCGGCTCCTTTATCCTCGCGATTTTCAATGCGTTCCGGCTCATTTACCACAGGCTGATTAGCTATTGGGGTCTCATTTCCCTTGTCGTCCAAGACCTTGGCCGCGGCTGCACCTGCAAGTCCAGCAAGAGCAACAGCCTCAAAGTCTTCGACTTCCTTTGGAGACTCGCTTTGCTCTTGTATGGGATCTGAGGGAGCAAGGGTCTCCTCAATGACTTCCTGTAGGATTTCTTCAACCTCAGGGACTTCTTCTGCTATTGGAACTGCAGCCGGGTCAGATGATAGATCTTGGACGGATTCCTCGGGTGCCTCTTTGGTTTCCGTAGTTTGTTCCACAACAATGCCCTCTATCACTGGCTCTTCTAAAGCTGGTACTTCCGCAATAACTGTCTCATCAATCGGTTGTTCAGCCACTAGAGCGACGGGCTCTTCATTCGGCAGCATAACGCCAATTTCTTCGACAGGTTGTTCGAGATCCAGTTCACCAACTGCCTCCATTACTGGTTCCTGGACATTTTCGACACGTTGTTCAAGATCCGGCTCACTGGATGCCTCTACTGGTTCCTGGACGGCTTCGACGACGGGTTCTTCAATCGATGTATCGATGGTTGGTTCCTGGACAACCGGATCTTGGGCGGTCTCAACTGTAGATTGATCGAGGATTGGCGACTCGCTAGTGGTATCTTCAAGGGGTTGATCGGCAGATGGCTCTCCAGCAAGTTCTTGAACGTCAATTTCTTCCGTGGGTTTGTTGATTGATTCATCAACCTCATCCTCAGGGAGTATTTCTTGAGCCACGGCCTCTTCAGCTTGCTCAACGGCCAATTCTTCGGTGAGTTCTTGAGCCGCAACCTCTTCAGCTTGCTCAACGGCCAATTCTTCCGTTTCTTGAGCCACCAGATCTTCTATCCAATGTCAGTATGTATCGCTCGATAAAAGTAATTACAACACACCTGCAACCTCTATTGGCTCAACAACCTCAGGCTGTTCCTCGCCCTGGATCTCCTCAGTTGGTTCAACGACATCAAGTTGCGTAGGTTCAGATTCTGCATAAAACTTAGCGTTAGTAACTGAGGGATTAAGTGGAAAGTGGAAATGGACATCTCTATCTCTGAAACATTGGGCTATTGTAAATTCTAAACCCAAAACGAGAATAGATCCAAGATCGCCAAGATTGAACGTACCAGACGGTGCTTGTTCCCCATCCTCCAAATTTTCAACAGGGCTCAGAGGTGCCTGGGGAGTTTTTATGATTGGGCTGGGTTCTAGAAATATATCGTGTCAGTTTGTGTAAGGACCCTTTTCATTTCACATTCTGAGAGGTGTTTATTGGATTGATTCGCATTCGCAATGGCCAAGTTTCTTTCAAACTTTGGGTTTGTCATCTTTTGGCATGAAAGTTCTCGAAATTTTCGGACCTCTGGAATACATCTTGGGGATTGTAGAAAATTTTCCGAAGCAGATTGACTCAGAAATTTGCCAATAGAATATACGCCGTATAATATATAGTTTTGAATATATTCAAAATAAGTAGGTGGCGTTGTCGTGAAGTATGAAATTCGACACGTGTCAAATGATCGTGGACATACGTATGCAGAGTTGCATGTCCACAGGATATAAGAGGATACATAACTTACCAATAGGAATTTCTGTCTTAACGCTCTCTGGCTCGGGATTGCTTTCAATCAGTGGTTCCTCAGAAGTATCAACCGGGGCGGGTTCTAATTACCCCGCATTAATTTATTTATCATAACGTGTACAAGAGACGAAAAAGTGAAAACTTACCAGGGGAAATTTCTTCTACAACCACAGGCTGTGAAGGGGGATCGTTGGCTGTTGGAGAGAAATCTATGAGCTTGATATTTTCTGGGGAGGCTCGATTTAGAGGATCTAAAGTCCAGTTTGAGAGGAATTCGAATCCTCAGGGACACTTACTGGCTTCTGGTTCTATAAGAGATTCTTCCGGAGCTGATTCTTCCGGAGCGGTAATAGGCTCGCTTGGTGTTGGCTCAGGTTCGGGTTCTGTATCTTAGTATGAGCAATCGGTTTTGAAGAATGGTGGGGAAATTAGCTATTGAACACTTACCAACTGGACTTTCCTGGATTGGATCGGTAGCAGGTTTTTCAATGTGAGGAATTTCAGTAGCGGGCTCTTCTAAAAGCGGATTCTCAGCAAGGGTATCTTCAGCAGGAACTTCTTCAGTCAAAGGCTCTTCGATTGGATTAGTCTCCGTTGGTGTTGACTCGGCATCTAGACGTTTTCTTCAGCTACATTTCATATACAACATACCCAAGTCCTTGCAGCACTTACCAGCATCTTTTTCTAGAGCCTCCTCCTCTTCGGGCGCTTCCACCAATGTTTCTTTATCTTCTACCGTCTCAACAGGTGTAGCATCAATGGGAACAGGTTCTGGTTCTTTTCGATAAATTATTAGTACGCCTGACGTTCTGATTATAAAGCCTACTTATTTTGTGAACTCTTACCGACTGGAGCTTCCACATTTTCAATAACCTCCTTTTCCTCTTCGGCGGGCGGTTGGGGGTCATCAATGCTTTGGGTCTCGTTTTCTGTGACTAATAGAATTTGTTATTTCTCTGAATTCATCCATACCAGACGAAGCACAATGTTAAGAGAAATCTTGGGTCAACTTACTCGCAGCAGCATCACCAGTGATATCATCGTTCTCTACCTCTTCCGGGGCTATTAATTGCTATCTTAGTATCTTGTTGTATTCAAGTAGGTTGGCGGAAGAAAATTGAATCAACTCACCTGCAGGAGATTCATGCGCTCCAACTGGTTGTTCTTCATGGACTGGAAGGTTGGGATCTTCATTTGAGACGGTTTCCTCGGGCTGAATTGGTTCTTCGTCATCCACAACTAGTTCGGGCTCATTATCCTCATTGACGGAAAGTTCTTGCACCTCAAGTGCCTCTTGCTCAGGAACATGACTGTCAGGTTCCTGGGAAGGGACATTGTCTGTTGTCTCAACTGAATGTTCCTCGCTATCTGGCTCGGAAGTTGCCACGGCAGGAGCATCCGGGCTCTGGTCAGATTCGTCCTCGGGCACTGGAACTTTTGTTTCCTCGTCATGAATTGCTTCTTCAGAATGTACTGGTTCTTCTTCCTCAATGACTGCCTCAGGAGTATCACCTTCGATAACAAGTGTTTCAGAGTCTTCACCTAACTCTTGGGTAGGATTTTCAATCTCCGGGGATGGGTCGGTTTCCGAAGTCTCGATATGTTTCTCTCCGTCACTGACTGATTCGGGAAGAATTTCTACAGCAGGGGCTTCTGTATTTTCGATAACTTCTTTTTCGGGTTCGTGAACTTCTTCAACATCGATATCTTCGCTTGGCTGAATAGCATCCTTCTCAACCACCATTTCGGAAAGGTTTTCCGGGACAGATGGCTGCGGGTCTTCGGTAGATTCTTCCTCGTGAATAGGAGTATCGGGATCTCCAACTGCAGCTATTATAGCTGGTTGATTGTCCTCCTCTACGGACTCGGGGATGCTCTCGATGGGTTCCTCTCCAGGGATAGGATTATCGGTATTATCGATATTGGCTGTTTCATCCAGTTGAACATCAGCTTCTCCGTCCAATGATTTAGGTGCATTGTCCAAGGAAGGAACAGGAACTTCGTTTGATTCACTGCTAAGAATCGGAGCTTTCAATTCTTCGGTCTCATGCAAGTGTTCCTCCTCACTCCCTGCCGTTTCAGGGCCATTTTCTTCGGTAACAGATGAGTTTTCGTCCTCGTGCTCGTTATTGGATTCCGAATCTTCATTATTTGATTCGCCATCCCAACTTGATGCCTCGTTTTCCGATTCTATTGGATCGGATTCCTTCAACTCTCTCACCTCGATTTCGTCATCGTGCTCGGTAGAAAGCAGCTCGGTTTGAGGTTCTTCAATTGGCTCGGGATTGGTGTTATCTGGGGTTGTTTGTGCGAGACTTTCATTCGGATCTTGAGGAGGATCTTGAGGGATTTCTGTTTGCTGTTCATCGCTGGCCAGCAATTCTTGAGTTTCATTGGAAGGCTGTTCTTCTCCGGATTCAACTTGTGATCCCTCGCTTGCTTGTTCTAAAGTTTCTTCGGTATTGACAGGAATGGTTTCATTGTCAGTTTCAGGCACTTGGGCGGCTTCTGGAGATTTTTGGATCGTTTCCGTCTTGTCTAAAGCATCTTCTGTCGGCAAGTTTGGTATATGATTTGATGTCTCCTCAGTCACTACGGGGTCTTGTTCAGGCATGAGTAAATCTGCTATCTCGTCATCTTCGGAGGACTTATGAACATCTTCAACATCTCCTAATGAGGCATTTTCAAGCTCCGAGCCATCCTGAACCACTTCCGGTACAGCGCCGTTCTCGAGTTGTTTTGTTATATCGTCATTCGCTTGTGGTTCATGAGATTCCTCAATTTCCGTTGGACACTCTTCAGATTCCGGTAATTCTGGAACACTTTCTGCCTCCTTAGAGGGTTGATCAATTGAAATCGGTCTTTCCTCATTTTCTGGATTCTCATTGCTTTCTCCCGCATCAGTAGCCAAGTCTTCAACTGCCACGGACGCTTCTGATGTTGACTCTCCCTCGATTATGGCTTGTAAATCATCTGGATTACTCTCTTCCGGAGCTTCGTCCTTTACTGGATCATCCGGGTTACTCTTGTCCAAAGGTTCCTCTTCCATAGACGTTTCTGGTGTTGACTCTCCCTCGATTATGGCTTGTGAATCATCCGAATGACTCTCGTCCGAAGCTTCGTCTTTTACTGGAGTTTGTTGAACATTTTCGCTCTCGATTGGCAATTCTTCGACTTTTGTATCAGGCTCCAGAACTTCGGGGTTAACGAGGGTATCTTCTTGGCTCTCAGGTGACTTTTCGATTGTAGCTGGAATATCTAGGACGTCATCGCTGAGTTCAACGCTTTCTGTATCTGGGCTTGTTTCAGGACTCTCCTCAGTAGAATCTCCCGCAACGTTATTTTCAACGGCTGGACTGTCATCGGAATTGCTTGATTGTGCTAATTCCCGAATGACATCATCCTCGACATTAGAGTCTCCCACGTGATCTGCCAGTTCATTAGTCTCGGTAGTCCCAATCGGACCCTCGGGTGTCAGAAAATCGGTATCGATATTATAAGGCCCCGTTTCTGCCGGATTGTTCTCGCTTGGTTGAGGAGAAGGTTCATTTGGCTTAGACTCTTCATCGGTATGATTGTTTACCTCCTCGAGAATTTCAACACTTTCGGGTCCAGCTTCTTCAGGACTAGGCGTTTCGGCTTCGATTGGTTGAGTAGGCTCATTTATTGAATTTTTTGTGCCTGGCTGGTCCGGAACAATCTCTTCTGGAGTATCCAAAGTCTCATGATTGACTTCATTAGATTCTTCTTTTTCCTCGTCTTGAACATCACTTTCGATCGTTACTGGCTCGATTGGATCGGAGGCTTCTTCAGAGGATTCTTCCTCGATTTGTTTCTCGTTCGCATCAAGTTCGGCTTGGGGATCTGATTCAACGTTTTCCCCGGAAACATCTTCGTCGGGAGGCGGTGCTTCCTCGTCATTCTTTGTACTTTCTTCCAGAGAAGCCGGTTCATCACTAGAGTGAGTATCATCCTCGGGTTGGGGCTCATCGATTGTTGTAGGTGTCTCCAAGGAGCTTGGAATTTCTTCCCCGGTGGCAGTTGGTGTGGATTCGACAGGTTCTGGAGCCTCTTCCCCAGGGGCTGACATCTCCTCGGTACCAATTGAAATATCTTCGCTGTTCGGACTCTTTTCAGCCACTTCGGGATCTTGTAAATCAATTTCATCTGGTAAAGGACTTTCCTCTTCATCGATAGGACTTTCCACTGCAGCTTCCGAAACAACCTCATTGTCAGGCTCTTCCGCATTAATCTCCGTCCCATTTGCAGCAGTGAGCTTATCATCCTCAACTTCAACCGTTTCGTTTGTAAAAGGTATATCCTCATCAACATGAGATTCTTCGATGGCAGCAGGATTGTCTTCTGTGCTCGGAATATCTCCACCTTCAACCTGTAAATCTTCTACTATTGGCACATCAGTGACGGATGCCTCTTCTGTAGCTGCATGTTCCTCGGAGACTGCCTGGTTGTTTTGCATGCTTGCAACCTCTTCATCCTCCTCCTTTACGTCATCTGAAGCTGGTACATCACTGGTTAGTGTCTCCTCGATGTCTGGATGTGCTTCAAGTTGTGTTGATAAGTTCTCTTGTACAGGTACTACTTCCTCGGCCTCTATATTCTCACCTGGGCTATTTTCTGGCGGAGGTGGGGGGTCTGGATCTTTTCAGGTGAGAGTTAGTATATGTTGTTCATAACGTCCGATTATTGACCGCAGATTGATATTTCAAAACTTCATCAAGCAACAGTATTACTCACCTGATACTGGCTGAACAACATCTGGAGTTTGCTGTGACTCCTTGACTGATTCATCACCATTGTTTTCAGCTGATATAGACTCATCACTCTGTATTGCTGGTTGCGAAGGTTTCAGAATTGGTACTAATGCCATTTTAGAAACATCCATTCCCTTGCTCCTACTTTTCTTAGCGTCGCCTTTCTCTTTCCTGTCCTTTGCCTTCCTTTTCTCCCCCCTCGAATGTTTTTCGAGCTCAGCATGTTTCCGAAGGGGCGGGTCGGGAACTTCTGGTGGTACTCGTAGTCCCTCATCAGCAGAACGTGAACTTTCCCTGCTCCTCTTAATTATCTTACTCAATAGAGACTCGGGTTTGCGTGGAACTTCGGGAACAGGTAGCTTCCTGTCCTTACTGCTCCTCTTGCTCTTCTTGTCTTTTAATTTGGAACTTGTTGATGCAATGTCGTCGGCGAAACGAACTGTATGATTTGACGGATGCGATGGATGGGTTTCTATTTTACTAAGTGCATATCTGTCATCCCGTATGTCTTTCAATCGTGGAGCGTCTGGAACGGAAGGAGGGATGTCATCGGACGTTTCTGGTGTAGAATCGGAAGGAATCTCTAAACTGTGATTCGATTCTGGCTCCGGTTCTGTTTCAAAATCAATAATGCTATCTTTTGTATAGAAATATGAAGTCAATTGAGTGGCGCTCATAAACACGTGAAGATGATCTTCGTACTCCAAGATATGAGATGTTTTCATACCTGCTTCTGTACCATCCTTCGCTAGACTTTCTTCCGGAGTCGCGGTCGACTCTATCGGTTTCGAGTCAGTCAATTCACCTGTCGTCGATGGGGGCTTGTCGCTTTCGGGAGACTGAGGTTGTTCTTTTAAGTCAGGTGTATCTTCATTCCCTTCCTCTTTGGAATTATCTTCCTCCTCCGAATGTGGATCTCCATCCTCACTTTCAGACAGCGGGGTATCGCTTGTTTCTTTCGTTTCTATTGGCTCCTCTGGTATTCCCTCCAATTTGTCTTGAGTCTCATTATCATCACCTTCCTCTTCATCTTCATCGTCTGTTTCTTTGATTAGCAATGCCAAGCTTAAATCTATGGGAGCATTCAATGTTGCATTGTAATGGAAGTGGAACATTCATGATTGTTCATTTGATCAAAAACAATAATTGTGGAGAAGATTGTAGACTTTTGATGAAATTTCGAGATGCAGACATGGAATCAGGAAAGCTTACCTGTCTTCCCCTCATAATATCTGGCAATTTTAACATTTGATATATCCAATACTAAAGGTTTCGCCCACTGAGTTGTCTGGATTGAGGACCAATTACTACCAATGGCCGTGGTTCTGGCTGGACAAAGAGAAATATTCATACTGAGGGTGTGTGTACCTCGTCACAAGCAACAGAAGATGCAGAATCCTCTACGTGATGAACGAATTGAACGTCCTTCTTATTGTTCTTTTGATCCTTTCCTCCCATGGTCTACAATGACGAGAGGGGTTTCCTCCGGTTGAATGCGGGTGCCCAATCTTTGGGTGACAAACGTTTGGTTACCACCCGAGAATCGATTCAACGTGGTTGGGATGGAAAAGGTACAATAGATGAAGAATCCAAGATGACTTATATCAGCAGATGGCAAGACGAAAAAATAATTCGCCTATAGGAAAATAGAATGATGAATAAATTCAAGACTAAAAGGAAGATTCGGAAGCAAGAACGGAATTTCCTACGAACATTTAGTTTCATTGGTAGGTACAAGAAGGAAGTCATTGACAAAAGAGAGTACAGCATCACTTTTTCCCCCCATGGCATAAGATAGAGATGGGCCAGAAGTCCCACGGTAATCCCACGATTTGCCAATGTTTGTCGACGGCATTATTAGAAATTTGCCTAAATCTTGGTCGTGCTCAACCATTATTGGCCCGATATGATACATTGCAGCCACGTCGCAGTCAAATCAATGATAATAATCAAATGTGATTTTCGAGGCAACCCGCGATCAATGTTGCAGGGCCCCGAGTGCAGCCCAACCACGCTGCACATTGATGAGAAAGTGGACAAGACCGTGCAGTCAGAAAATTCAAAATCCAGAGAAAAAAAATTGTAATTAATGTGCAGGAATAAATCCGGCAAAATGGACCAAAAACCCCTGTTGCTTGCAGCTTCCATTCAATTCACGTCTACAGAGTACGTCGTACTAAACGGGGTAGATGTCATTGGATGATGTGGGACGATGATTGATGATTGATGATTGTGTTGAATAACCTACCAGCAACCACGCCTACTGGTCAAATCACATCACTCAATCAATCCATGGAATACTCTGTAGGTATCTTGATGTACAAGACTGCTACCCGAAAATGTTTCGCGGCGCCGTGCAGATTGACCTTGTGGGTTGTGCAACGTGGTCAGTCGCCTTATATACCTGCCTCATCTTTTTGATGCTTGCGATTACCTACCAGTGACGCCAATCAAGCCAGTGAACAAATCAATGATCATCCTATATATCCAGCTTTACCCTCTGTCAATCTTCGTGGAATCAAGACAGAATTCAGAATGTGATAAGCAGAAAGAAAAGTAAGAAAATCACCACAGGCAAAGCCCCTCTTCGGACCCCCAATAAATGTTGATAGCATCCAATGTCATCCATACGATGTTGCTTAATTGTAACCCTTTGCCACACCAGTGGAACTCTTTGGTGCTGATGCCCAGAATAGTGTTTGCGACGTGATGAGTTGTCAGTACAGGTACATTACATGAAGTACCTACCTACACAAGTTATCACCTAGCACTTACTAATAAATTACTGTACCCATCCTTTTGGGTGCCCGGGGATCCGATGTACGATAATCTTCAAGGGGGTGAGGATCTAGCTCTTTTAGCGATTCCGCCGATGGTACCGATATGTCAATTCAACTTACTTCACGCATGTAGAAAATGAGGGGTTGTAACTTTTGGTGAGACCTTACATATATTTGATGCATTGATGCACAAGATGTTGTGTTGGTAGTGTGGGTACAAAAAGACCCAGAACGAGTGGTTAGAATGATTCAGAGAAGCTTGAACAAAGAGAATTTCTATAATTAATTCGATAACTAAAAAATGATCCGAATGAGCTGGACCAACTAGCATTAAAATCTGAATCTAAGACTTTAAGAATAACAATATTCCCTCTCAAACGAAACTTTGAAGTGTTTTGCTACTTGGATTTTCTACTTGTCGACTCCCCAATGTTTCAGCTAGGAGAGTAAAACATGACTCAAAAGCGAGGCTGACCATGATGGATACCTACTTTAGCTTTCATGTACCTCTGTATGTATGTATGTGTGTGTGTGTGTGTATTTATCTATCCACAGTATCAGATCGGTGAATTACTATCATGTGAGCGAACTTCAGCGCAAGTATTGGTAACCACATGCATCATTAGATTGTTGGTAGATGTTATTCTAGTTTATTGGTAATAGAAGGTATTCGGTGTCTGTTTGACAGATGTACAACAAATCCCAAACGCCGTCGCAGTTAATGGATTCGAAACTCCCGATATCCTCTCTTGTGCAAATTAAAAATTGAAGCTGCCAGTGCCCTCCCAAAAGAATCTCGCACGCCTCCCCCCATACACAAAATAAACTGATGAAATCAGAAGCCCAACGACCCACTCACTCAATATTGGATTTATTGTTCTTGAATTACATGGCCATTTCAGCTTGTAGCCTTCGGAGTTCTTCCTCTTCGTCATCTTCTTCAACATGGACGGGTGCTTTGGATTTGACTGAAATTGAAACATTAGTAACTTGCAACAAAAGAATAATAATGGCACTAGAAACTCACCCTCTCCATTCACAACAGATGGCAACCTATGAACTTCATCAGAGACTGGTACGGAACCAGTCTTTAGCATCTTATTGTCTAACTGCTCTTGTTCAAGATCCGCCAATTCGTCTTCGAGCTCAGTCTCATCTATAGGCTCGCCGAGAGGTGCGCTCGTAATAGCTTGAGCGATTTCTTCGCCCAGAGCATGCTGTTCTCGAAGTTTGTCCCTAAAAGTATATATGTTAGCCTTTATCTCCATCGTCATCGAACCACAAAAAACTTACATTGTCTCATCAACCTTGTTGATATCGAGTTTGCCATGAATAGCTGCCATTGCCTTGCCGGCTTTCTCCATGGCAAGGAGGGTCTCCTTGTTGATGTTGGCTGCTTCGATAGAGTATATTTGTTGTTCTAATGTCGATATCTGCGCAATAGTTTGATCTAGAGTGTGCTCATGTTGTTTCTTCCGGCGCAATGCAGCCTTCGCAGCTACGAAAGAGCCAAATATTAGCAGCTGCTATATATACGATCCTGAGAGGCAGAGCATACCATTCTTATTCGTGCTTACATTCTTCCTAGCTATCGCATCTTGTTCGTCCATTTGACTTTGTAAATGACGCTCTCGTTTCTGCAGCATCTCAAGCTGCGCACGTAGTCCTAAGATAGCATTCTTCGGGGAGTCCTTCGCTTTCTGCGCACCCCCTCCCCCAAACCAGCCCCAAACACCCGACATATTTCACGATACTGTGCAGACTCGAAACCGGTGAGTTGGCAGGACTTTCAAGTCCCCAGCGCTTTTTTGCAAATTATGAGGAGACTGTAGAGGCTCGAAAGCGATCGAAGTGGCGGCTGATGATTAGGGTTTGATGATAAGACCTGCTATCGGAACTTGATAGTGGGGAGCTTGATATTGTCGGACAAAGACGGTAAAGTCAAGGAAACGGGTTGGCTAGCAGTGGAAGATGAAATCCGTAGTGTCGAGTTTGTTTCGTTGGTGGAGTTCTATAAATGTTTTTGTGGTTGCCTGCGGTTGTTTCGCATAGTTGATTGAAGTGAATGATGAAAGTGTGGTAACATGGCGTCGATGATGACGCTAGTCCCTCCGTCTATATCAGGTTAGCGCAAAATTAACCCAGAATCACGTGTAATGTTTTGTTCCAGCCCGGCCATCTGTTCTTGACTCCTCTCACAAACTACCTAACATGACAAGGTGATCTCGAGTTTCACGTATGGCAGGTAAAGTTTTACCACAAGAATCACCAACAACACCAATACCTTTTTTTTCTCATAGTTCCCTAGTATAATCTCTCTGGGTTGATTGTTAAAACGAACAATATGTCAAAACAATATTCGGGACCTAACCCTTCGAAGCTCGTGTTACTTGCCGACCTTCAACAGTTTTCAGAAGGAGATAAAGTTCGATTCTTAGGATGGTATGATAAATATCCCTTCTAATTTACACCCCATTCTTTCAAACAGCAATTTCACTTTCTACAATGTATATTAGTAATCTCTACTTTCTTTATTAGAAAAAACAGACATCCTCTGTCAGATATTAGCTGCTCGCCAGTTCTAAGGAGAGTTCCCCAAGTACTCGGCACAGCAATTTGGAAAGGTTTATGATTTAAGAAGAGATAGACTGACAATGCACTTATATAGCGTGATAAGTTATAACAGAAGCTCCGCCGTTTTAAATTTGGAACACAACTTTCCCGTTGGCAATGGAATCAAAGCCTCTGTCAATGTTCAACTTCTGCTGAACAGCTTAACCCACCATGAGACTCGGGTTGGAGAGTGGGTCAATATTGTCGGTTATGTAGCAGATGCAGATGGGCCACAAAATATCAAAACTCATAAACTAGGGGCTAATATTGCTATTCAAGCAATTGCCTTGTGGTCATCCGGTCCTATACAACTCGATGCATATGAAAGAAGTCTTACGCCTTGACATTGAGAGCATACGACTTTCAAATTTCTGGTACAGTGTTGCAGAAATAAACTGTTCAGGTTTATTTGAGACTCGAACCAAATAATGAGGATCCTCACAAGCCATACCGAAGTCGAGTGAAAAACGCACTTTTTCCAGATGTCGCAAGTTTTTTTAAGAAGTTTAGCATAGTCTTCATATACAGAGTCATTGTATTCCATTGCATGCAATCACCATGCCAACAATATTCCTGGCAACGTCAGAGTGGTTTTGACATTGGGAGCCGCGCTAATATTCCTTGCTACGAACCGATTCAGACTCAAGTTTATAGAACTTATAGATCACTCGGAGCCCTAGGGGCACATGAGCAAATAGACGACGTCGATTGCCCAGGACCCACGTGGTTACTGTTGGTTTTGAGTTCAGTTTGTGTTGAGGCCAACAGGCTTCATTACGTCGGTCTTGGGGATTTGCTCCTGTCGTTATTAAAAAATGATCAAATTCCAACTCCAAATGGAACACTAATTGCTGTCTTGGAATTATGGGGAAGTCTACTTTGTCAATACAATTACTACAGATTCAATGTCGCCAAATTCCGGTAAATTCAGTACAAGGATTGAGAGCTGCAACTGCTGCATAGGTGTAATATTTCGCTTCGTTCTTGGCTGCAGATCGACTCATCCTACCATGCTACTCGGTCGCACTTAGAATGCAGCCTCACCTCAACTTAGATGTCCGGGATTGTGAGGCTTCAAACGGGTCCTAACGTTTGCTGCATCAACTAGGACTAAAACTAGTGGCATAGCTAGCCATTATGACTAGTGGTAATTATGGCGAAGCAGTCACAGTACCTTTGATCGCCTCCATGAATGGAATAGCACTTTTGGTTCGTATTTTCAAAGGAATTCACAATTGGCAAGAATGGCTTCTGGATGCTGATGGCTATTTACGGTATTTACATCTTGAGGAAGATTGTGCCAAAATGTGAATTTTCCTATACTGGAACAATGACAAATATGTAGAAGGATATGCAGATTATACGCCAACTAACACACCTCCAAAGGATGCAAATAAGGCTACATAAGAAACCAGAATATCAACAGCAACAGCAACAACAAGTTGTATGCAAGCACTACACATTTTTGCTTCCGCAACAGCTTAGTATCTTTGCCCTGTGCCAAACTTCGAGCCCTCCTGTTCTATGAAGTAAGTACGATTCCACACTTGATAGCTCTCGTTGAAACAGCCGCGCGCAGGGTATTTGCATCGTTAGGATCATTTTCGTCCTCAGCCTTTGAATTCTGGGCCATTCGAATATCAAGAAGTTCTATGATTTGGACGATAGAGTCTTGAGGAACCGGGCTTTGAGCCTCTTGAAATGACGACTGGCTGGTGCAGAGGCCGCTTTAGTTGCTTGTCTGACTCTTTCTTGGCTCGAGCCGCTGCCTGCTTTTCCCAGAGCTCCTTCGACTTGATACAGATATCATCTATCTGTTCCTATATACCAAATTAATCGAGACTCTCAGACGGTTTGTTGTACAAAATGGTGCTCACATCCGTCAAGCACTCTCCTGGCGTGCTAATCAGATATCCATCTTCTCCCTATGCACCCTATGAGCATGATTATTTAGCAGCTAAAATTGTCATCACGTACGTCTCGTGTATATGGCCTTAGCGTGGATTCTGGTCCCAGATAGTATTGAATCTCCTTGTTGATAACTCTCTTGTTGATATCAAGATTGGGTATCCAGTATCGATTAAGTTGAGAAGACATTGCACTTGGCGATGGTATGACAGGATGACGAGTGTGAAGCAAGAGGTTTAAGGAGTTATGGACTGGTTGTGTATCACCATACACACCGGTCTATGACACTCTTTTGTATGGATGTTCGGGCATTTATAAGAGTCTTACTACGAATAAGGAGACTAAGGAGACTAAGGAGATGGCAATAGACATCGGGAGCTATGAACGCCCCTCATTTAACGTCTTATCGAAATCGGACGATTTTGTGGATTTTATAGGCAGTTACTAAGTCGACTATCTGAATTAAAGGTCGCAACAACCTTACACGTATCTGCAGAGAGGTCTGCATACAATATAACATTCCGGGCAATGGTGGTATTTGGAAGCCAATATGTTAATCGCCTTGTTGAGGCGGACTGGCGAGCTTGTCTTCTCACACCCCATTGGTTCCAACATACTCCCTATTAATCATAAGATACTAAAGGGTACTAACCGTGCAAATGAAATGCAACGCTATAAACGCCTCCGATGCGTATTTCTCGTGGCATTCCATTGCTGGAATATGAGGTTAATTACATTGCAGCAAGAACACAGTCGTGTAACGAAGAACTGCAGCAGGAATGTTTAATGCAAAAACAATATCACGAGGACATCAATCAAATTCTACGAAATGCTTCTCAGAATCTCCACATGCAACCCAAGTTCTTTAGCTGATAAAGTTGGGTTCCATCGACGATCCAGATTTAGTGTGGTGTCTCTTGAATTTCGATCTTGGGATTCAAAGCGAAATTTTGAATTTTGAGTGATCGAGAAGCATACCTGATTTAAGAAAGTCGACGAAGATAGTATTATATCTGCAGATCGCTGATTATAATCTATTGCTCGGCGGGTTTTCTTTCTCTTATCGCAGATCCGCTAACTATCACTCAAGCCCGAGAATTGGCGAAGAAGATTTTCTCGCCTTTCATGGGTAGCGTATTTTAAATGGGAGATCAATACTTCCGTCCTTCACAATTTTCCCGATTACTTGCTCAACAAAGAGATTCATTATTTCGTTGTCCTTGTCCTTGTCTACCGAAGTTGGTGTTTCGTGGTCATTGGAACTCGATCGTCTAATTCCTCCTTTATTTTTGAGGACCAGCTCAGAATATTCCATAATCTCATCTGATGTCCCATGCCCGCAGCCTGCTGGCGTATTTGGGACTCTAGTACTTCCACGCTACAATATCATCAGGCCTGAGCAATGTAGTTTGGGCGAAGTTGACTGGGTCTTGTAGTCTATGAAGGGAACACTCTTTTCTATTCGCCTATTCAAAGAAAGATCATAAGTTGGGAAGGGATAGATATCATATTTGCCAAAAGTATTTGGCAACTGATCAACCCAAAGTTCGTGAGGGCTCGAAGCTTTCTCGGCGCAATACACAGAGAGAGAAGATAGTTACTTGCAACTTGTGAACTGTGAACACCATCCAATATACGTGATGAAGTGGCCCCTATTGGCCTTCGTCTTTTTGTAATAACTATCATCCAGAGCCTTGTTCCACTGGCATCATTTAGGGCAACTTACATCTCTTGGTCACACTAGATAATAGTGTAAAGTTTTGGCAAGCCATGAGGGCATGAATTTTCTGATCATTCAACTCGAGATACCTCAATGCCAGTTTCACAAACAAATTTGGATTATACACAAGGGCTCGTGATACGTCTGACCTGATTCGAGCATCCAATAGATATCTTCAAGTCCTTTCTGTCTTGGCTATTACTGAACATGGAACTTGCATTGTCCATGGAATTTCTGATCGTTGAGTCTAGTCGACCCTTTTCTTTTTTATGTCGTCCCATCGAAGGTCCTCCCCTCAACGCCCTCAACGCGGATAATAGACGACCGAACCGGTCTTCCCCAACACCATAATAATTCCCGGCCATGCATGTGTGATCCGGCTTCCGGGATTATTTCTGACCCTGCAGAAATTCGCTTCGCCCGAGAATTATGCGGTAGAGTTACACCCATGACAAGCTGTCTCTTGGTGCAACGCGAGATATTTCGCGGCATTTCGTCAACTTTTGGCACCCAAAATATGGGTGCATCATGAAGATAGAGTGAGAATAAACAAGAGCACGGGAAGCAATACTAGCATTTCGAAATCGTGAATCATGTAATAGAAGAGATTGTTTTGTTGCGTATTCAAGAATGTTATGTGAAGATAGCGATAATCAGATTCCAGGAGCTAGCTTTGGAGCAGAGTCGGTAGTTTCAATCAGATGGACATTTGAAATGACGACGAGATTAAGCATCCAGTCAGGTGATTACTCATAACCCATCATTGACTGATTGGTTGACAGGCTATTTGAACCGCTTATTGATCAAGGATGTTTGAATTATGGCTAAAAACCGGTGATGCAGTTGGCTCTGATATAAAACTATGCTGTCCACTTCGAGGGCGCCCGTCTCGAAGCGCTGCAATCAGCAAAGTCAATGGCGGCTCATCACGCAGCAACCACGACATCAATGCACTCACCGACATGAAACAAAATACGATATGGTTGATATGCCAAGGATTTCCGTTCATCCGACCTCATTCCAAGTATTGTTGCACCAAGAACACTTGACGAGTAACTGAATAACTGATAGAGAACAATTATGCAGAGCATATGAAGCAGCTATCTCAATCATCTTTAAGGGCAACCATTCCTCCACAAAGTAAGAATTCTATCACATATTATTCATTGGAAGTAGTACATATACATCTCACATGCCCCTGTACATACTGCATACCTAGGTATGTATGAATGTATCTATTCAATCAAATGCCAACCCAGCACACATGCACTATATCTACACGTCCAATGCGTAGCCTTTCCTGCACGGGGAATCTGATCTATCTGATGGTATACAAACATGTATATGCACCCATGAAAGAAATCAAATGTAACACAGAATGATAATAATTATCCAAAAGATACTAGTACATCACTACACCACATATAAAGTCTAATATACGATTCTCCATCCACTAGTAGGGAGACTCTGCCGTCTCTCGAAGAAACGGCAATGAAACATGCATATGCAGGTCGGTACTCTGAACTCGGAGCGTACGGGATGGAATAAGATGAGGTAAGTCATCGGGTCGGATCGGAAGAAATGGGGAATATAGGAGGAGATAGATAATGGTAGGGCGGAGAGACAAGGTAAAGGAGGACGGACCTTTTTGATGGAGAAAAAAAGAGGTTGATGAAGTGGTATATATGGAACATGGGGGTTTGTTATGCTTGATGGCGATGCTGTCACCTATTTGTAATGAGAATGCAATTTTCTTCCTTGCATTTCTACCAATGACTTGGGTTCGGGTTGTAGGGAGCGTAGAAAGGGTATGTAGCCCCTCAGATTCCAATATCAGAATCCGAGCTAAGTGTTTCAATGGATATCTGTGGAGGGTAAAACACAGCAAAAACCGAACTCCAAAGCAGACCAGTCTTTAATTAATACACATACGCAGGCTGTAATGGCTGTTCGTCTAACATGAGCTATCATACATGTCATGCTATCATATCTTCGAGGTTCTTTCCATATATATCTAGCACACTCGCCCTTCAGATACTGACTGCACACAAACTCACGTCGTCAGTCATTATATACGCTCTTTTCTCACAATTCTCCATTGATACTCCCCAATCTCTCGTTTCTAGCTTCTTCTGCGAACTTCCAATTTAAGTTCACATCTTGAGGTTAAAGTCAAAGTACACAGCGCCTATGTGTTTCTTGTTCTGTTCAAGTCTAATTCATGTACATCCACATTTCATTATTAGAAAATCCAATGACAAGATTTTCAACCAAAAGATCACAAATGATAGATCAATCTACTTACACTCTTTATATACTCCCTTCCCATCATCCCTTCTCATCCCTTCCACCAACTCCCATCTCACCAACTCCTATCCCATTACCCTCTCATACACCCAAATCCATACACCCAAATCCATTATCCCACAATCCCGCAATCTCACAATCCCACAACCACACAACTGAATAACTATATCTACCTGTATCCACTCTAGCCGAATCTCCCTCCAACCTCCAACCTCCAATATATAAACACCAAGTACATTCCACATCATCTAAATCATCTCGTCCTACACATAATCACTCCCCGGATATACACTATAATTAATACTTCACAACATGACATACACACAACGAAGCCACCTATAAAGTAGTGAAGTAAGTATTGAGTTTCAAGGCAGGTATTCAGAATGCATCATCCATCATATATATATACGAGCAGAATGAAAAGTCGCATATAGTACATTGTCATAATCCACACATCATCATTCAAAGATCACCACACAAAATCACATGCTCACACCCCAGACAATTTCTATGTTCTTGAAAACTATAAAACTCAACAAAAACATTCCTATTGACTCATATGTACATATTCCATCCCTCCTTCTTCTCTCCCCCTATTCGCAAATGCGTACCTAGGTAATATCTTCATATTAAGCCACCCGCTGGACCTCGAGATAACATTCTCCAGTTCCCCTCTCATCGTCTGGGTCATCGACCCAACAAACAAGATAAGAAATCACAAGAATCATCAAAGTCACCGCTTTGCTCCAATCCGGCGCTAGATGCTATCCGACCAAGCCAGCCACGTGCTATACCCAAAACCGGCACCTGAAAGTCCGAGTGAAGAGCCAAAAGAGGCATTCAATACTATCTGTTCATAAAAGAACAACCAAATCGACACGATAAAGTAAACTAAACAAAAATTTAAAAACGCCACCCCTTATGCTTGTGGTCAAGCTCCAAGTTCCCATTCCCAAAAAGAAAAGAACCACCGCTGCTATGCAGGATCGAGTATGTTAGAGTATGCTAATCATCTCGCGGATGGGATATCTATAAGAACGCCAATTCTTTCCCTAATCCATTCGCTAAGCATACGCCCTGCATCACTTCGTATAACGTTAATGCCCAGACCGACGCCCATGCCCATACCCAATCCCAGTGCCAAGTCTGGCCAAATCCATTC